TTCGCGGCTTACACATCGACTACCCTTTGACATAGCACCACCTGTGCCAAGTTTGATGCAACGATAGTTTCGTAGAAAATGATGTGATGATGCGCTGGCTACAGCTTGGAACTTCTCCCCACTCACAGATGCGTCAGCGCGCTGAACGATGATGTAGATAATCTACTGTGAAGGAGGCATGAAGCAAGGTATAGAAGCTACCACACGCTCATATACATCCCCGATTTTGACCGCAAGGCCAGATCTGCTTCGGCATCGAACACTAAGTCAAGCATGGTAAAGCCCAGAGGTTTAGAAATAGGCGATAGGCGGTGACTAAACCAAGCTATTACACAAGACAAGAATTTGTAAGAAAGCGCAATTTACAACAGTCTAACATACACAACACACACGCTTGTTTGACGAGAAAGCGATTCCTGACATGGTGAAAGAAGGACAGTCTCAATTTGGAAGAATAAAAAACGAATTAAGGGCTAGATTTTTTTTTAAATTAGAATGATTCAATAATTCCGAGTCAATATGGTAAAAATCAATGGCTTCTAGAGGTTATATAAATGATGCCTTCTGCTCCCATAAATGCGATTCATACAATTAAGAACTTACTGAGGATGAAGCTCAACCTGAAGTGATGCAAAATCTTAGTCATACGATGCTTTAGCTTTGACAAGCTCAGCTATAATGTTTGTGGAAAGTACCCAGAAGAAGTGACTGGATTACGCCACTTACTTTAAAGTTAGATACACGTCGGTCTCGTCACCAGTACAAATCCCAAAGTGTTAACCAGCATCAAGTATCACACAAAATGGCTGTGACTTCGTATAAAATTTACATGTGGAAGCACCGTACTGTGATTCCTATGAGCTTCCACAATTCAAAAAAGGTACATCCATGTACTCTATATACCTTCATGTGACGGCTAAGTGTAGCACCTCACAGAATGAGATCAAGACTGGGAGAAAGCGCGTTTGCATGCTCTGAGCTAAAACTTAAAGCGGCTAAGTCTGGATTTTAATATGTGTTGACTCTAGTGTAATGTAGTCGGTCTGTTCCGTCTTCATAATAAGTGACATATCTGGGTTTATCGTGAGTACTTAGCAAACCGCTAGGATACCACCCGAATGAGTGCTATAGAATTTTTGAGTGACGGCAAAAAGAGCCACAACGCTGAAGTGCTGCCGTCATCGTTGTCATAACATTCGTAGTTAAATTTTATGGGCTGCAGACACTGTTTCTGCAAATTATAACGCTCAATAAATCTTTTCCGCCTCACAACATATTCGTGTGTTCTGCCTTCCTCAAGTTTGTTGTGCTGCTTCATTTACCTTGGCTCTCAGCCAGAGCGTTGTGCACCCTGCAAGACGCTTAATCTCATTTGAGAAAAACTTACTGATTATGCTGCGAAGAGATGATCAAATCGAATTTGATCGACAGCGTCTTTCTAATATGACTGGATCCTCTTTGTGGCGGTTGCAAAAGCTCCCGAATTTACAACCACAACACTATTTAACACTTATTCGCAAACGTACGGTAATATGCTGGCATAGGCTGCGCTGCACTTGAGCAAGTATCTGACCAGGCCAAGCCAACTTTTTCTGGGACAGCGGCATGAGCCAGTTTTAAATCATCTTTATCTTTGCAAGATCTGCCCACAAAACCTGCTTAGCAATGACGCAACTCCGATAATTTCACAATCATCAATAACTCACTTGTATATATATAGCGTATTTATGCACATTCGATTGACATCGCTTGCAAGTATTATGTGTGATTTTCACATCCGACTTTCCGCACTCGGTACGACTATACTGTTATTTAAGATTTTGCATAGCCGCAATGTGCTCTCGACATCTTTGTCGCTTCACCAAAGGACGTCACTAATGCATTACTCAAACTATGTAGCATAACCGGACACTCTGTTCAAATAGCTCCTTTCAGAAGGAGGAATATCGCTGTCTATATTCACAGTTGATTCAATCCATTCAACAGATCGGCGAGTGCTGACAAATGCAGCTAATAATGCTGTTCTGCCGCACATCTTTCAAGGATTCGACATTCGAATCAGAATCGGCGGCATATAGCTTATTGAAAGCGTGAACAACAAGCCATATGACGTTCGACTTTATGACACAAAAATTCGGTGCCGAGTGTATACTAACATTGTTTTGTTGTTAGCACGAAAAAACCTCTTTGACTTCCAGCCGTTTTATTGGTATGCGCCGTTACGTTGTGACGCAGTATTTCGTTCACGGAATCAAATAATCTTGTGACGTGCCTTAAAATACAGATAAAGTTGCGTGTTGAGTCTCTCGTCTCCATTCGTGTTTTTTTTTATGAAAGGAAAAGGAACCGTAGAAAAGTTTATGGTAGCTGTCAACTCCTCGTACTCAGTGCACTGTGTGTACCTATAGTTTCTTGCTCATCAATGAGGAATGACGAGCTAAGCTCCTCGTCCGATAACAAATGTACCAATTTGATGACCTCACCGCTTTTCAATTCTTTGCAAACCCCGAAAAATTATTTGAGGTTCTTCACGAGGTGTTGGGAATGGCTTATACCTCATAAAACTGTCTGGACATTCCATTTACGATAGGAAGCTATATCACTCTTTACAAGGGGGGATTCACAGGTTCACTCGGTGGACCCTTACTAATTCAGCAGTCCTGTTGCATGATTAATGTAACGAACCACCATTCTTATTTCTAAGCATTGGACACTCTATTCGGGACCTACAATAGCCTTTAACTGAACCGGCTCTGCCGCAGAGACTAGTCTAGCTTGCCTAGCACAGAAGACATCAGATCACCGTTGCTTTTACCAATTCGCCAGATGTTCACTATGGGGACCACGTCTTTTCCTGTCTCGACATACCACGATATTTTCGTTCTTTATAGTTCCAGGAAGAGAAGTGTGGGACTTAGTTTTTGTGACGTTCCAGTCAATTCGCGTATAGGATGAGATCGCATCTTGATTCTACATCCAGATCAAGACAACTTTTCACTCTGTCAAACCTTTTAATTATTCTTAATTTTAAACATAACCTTCGACACTTTTACCAGTTCTTCGTCGCAAAACGTCAGGATATTGTACCCATATTTGGTATCTCGATGTCTACGCATACTCTCTGAGCAGTAAGAAACAGTCGATCGGAAATGCACGACGCTCCTGATCATATATAAAATTTCGCAGCTTCACAAATTTTTGGACATTGATCTCGACAATCATCAACGTAGCTCTTTTAAGAGCTGATGCCGTTTGCCTACGATCCTTACGAGGTACAATAGAACTAAATTACCCCAGTAGGCGCATGAAGACCTACTAGGGATTGACGTTCCCGTGAAATATTAGTAGTCTGCCCCTGTGCGGGAGCTCGACCCATCATACCATTTAACACATGGCGCAGACTTTTGCAATGCAGTAGAACAAACATCTGTGGGCACTGATGAGGTGCTAAACATCTAAGCGATTTCTCTCTCATTCCAACATTTCTGATGTCCATCGAATCTGGCGCACTCGATAAGCCTCCTTTTATAGTACCTATTAAGACCCTCTCTGCGAGGAAGTTGTATTCCGCATTGAGTACGATGCTCACCGCCTTCTCAAAAGAGAGAGGGCAGACCTGGAAGTGTAAGAGGGTGCTGATCACAACAGTGTCTCCACTCAATACACGCGCTCGCTCGACGAGAAAGAGATTAACGACGTGGAGGGAGATAGACAGTCCCGACTTGAGGATGCTAGTGTTGAGCGTCAAGCCCTTAGAGGTCGAAATGGAGAAAACTCTCCCTCGGGACGAGATATAATATTACCATGGAATCAGCCATGTTACAAACGGAGAGAAAGTGTGTCGCACGAGAGAATCGGCACGAACTTACAACATTTACGTGGGGGAGGCGTCCCCAAGCGTAGAAAGCATTTAATATATATAAAAGAAGATTACAGTATGGTGTTCCCAGATGCATACGTTAAATCTTATATGAAGTCACAACCATTTTGTATGATACAGAATGCTGGCTCCTACTTGGGGATCTGTATTGGTGACGAGGCTGACATGTCCCTGTCGTTCGAAATCGGTGGCGTAAGTCAATCTTTTCTACTGGATATTTCCCACAAACGTTAAACGTTCAAGCTTCTCTATGTTCAAGCTCTGTACACCCAAGATCTTGAATCAGTTCAAGCTGAGTTTCATCCTCAGTACACCCTTAATTTTATGTAGTGAGAATCTAAGCAGCCCTTGGGGTGTTTTGCACACATCTAGAAACCATTAAAATTCAGTGCAAATTTACCTTTAGGGTCTTAAGTCGTGAAATTCTTATCTAACTGGAATGTTAAGGTGCCCAGCACGTGCCCTACCCGCGTGTTCCTAAAGCTGGTGAGCACTCTCAGGTGAGCAAGTACCTCCGCAAGCCCTTTCGTTGCAGTTTCTTGATCTTATCTGGACCAACGATAGATGAGCTGTTTGATTTGTCCCACGGAGAGCATTTGAACATTTAATGACCCATTTCCTAAACCAGAAATGACTATATGCTACCAATTGCAGCCGTTTTCTAGCACTTCGCACAGATGGGCTTTGATTCAGAAAGTTGAGTTTGGGCTTGTGTGTTTCTACCAGGAGCGGAGCTGAGAGCCTTTAAGTCAAGTAGGACTATCAGTGATCTGATAAAAAAATGTCGTGATATCCGCTAGTAGATCATATTTTACGAAAATTTCGGTCCTGATGTGTATACTCAATTATATTCATTGTAAATATTTACTCTGTAATACTTTACTTTACTATATTTATTACAGTATGTTGCCCCGGCTTTCTGTGGCTTTGTATACAATCCTTAGCGCAACTTATCGGCAAAAGTAAGGCTGTCATGAATACAAGGATTACGAAGCGATAAATGTCTACTAGAAAATTAACTCATACTACGATTGCTGACGTAGAATTTTTCACTACGTACGCTAAAGCGACATACCTGTACCTACATGTGGCTAATATTTGTAGCGTTGACATACACATATTAATCAACTCGAAGGTGCTGCCGGCGATGCTCTTGTTCAAGCGCATCACGCACGATAACCTTGCCCATCACATAGATACCGCTGGCAACCATCCCATAGATAGCGAGTAGATACGAGGCAACTACGCTCGCAGCACCGACAAAGCCCAGTAGGACAAAAGCTGTCGCACTTACGGGATCAGGTTGGTACGAAAATACCATGTTGATAAGCGAAAAGAAGAAGTAGAAAAGTGCACCCAGCAGTCCCGTTGTAAAGTTCATGACAGCCACGAAGACCCAATTCAAAACCATACTCAGTATGTCTTCATCTCGCGACGCAAGCACGCGCATAATCATGTGGTAAAAAGTCTGTTGCTGCGCAAAAATCTTGCCCTTTTCAAAAGCACTCCAGAATCGCGCACGTACATCCGCCATTCCAAAATCCGACCAAAGTCCCACAAAATTCCGTGCTTTTTTCATTTTTTCTTCCCGTATTTGTTCAGTTCTCGCCACTTCGGCCGCCCACTTATCGGCTATTGGTTGACGTTGATTTACCATCGTCTTGTATGGCTCACGTACACGCCAGAACCATACCTTAGCTTCGTCGGCATAAGCCTGAGCTTTCATGTATTTAGTGTAAGCTTTGTGGTACTCTGGCATATTGGCAGCCTCGATAATCATGTTTTCATAAGTTGACTTCATCTCTGGAGTAACCGTGCGCAGTCCAGGCGCTAAGAGCATGAAAAACAGACCAACGATCCATAGCACGAGCCCAACGCGAACCTTAGGAGACTTAAGAGCCTTTTCAGCTACAGCTTTGACAAGGGCGACACCTGGGTCTCCTTCACTGGCATATCGTGCACGTTGAACAGCATCAGAATCTGATGATCCATACACACATCATTGATTGATTAGTAGCGATTGAGAAAAGATGCAAAGCTGATTTTAAAAGCATGAGATCGAGTCGAAGTCGGAAAAATGCAATGGTGAAGTTTCCACGTACCCGCCGCGTCCGCATTTGGGTTACCAGGACGACGCATCTTACAATTTAGAGCTAAATTAGGTCTTTAAGTAATTTTTAAGATTCCTAACGTGTTTTCTCGAATTTCTTTATTATACTTTCTTCGCCTAATCTAGTTTTAAGGTACTTATTTCACCGAGCCAATTTTCGAGCCCTAGCTAAAACAGTTTCCCCACCAAACAAAAAACCCATTCCGCATTCTTTCCAGGTCATAAAAGGCAGCTTTCCTTTGTTAAGATGCTGATACATGAGAAGGGAAGCAACAAGTTCTTGCTCTTGTGCTTTTCTTTCCCAGTATCTCTTGCCCAAAGTCCGAGAGCGTACGTTGCTTTGTAGCTGAACGACTGGAAAAAAAATTACGGGATCTCGAAGCACAAGTTTCTGGAATTCGTTAAAGGTTAGAAATGTTGGTAAGCCGATCAATGATGGAAATGGGTTAACTGCAAATTGTCGAATAGCCACTTCAATATTATGAACGTAGGAACTTCCAGCTTCTTGGAGCACCTCTCTTATTGAAGAAGCGTTTACAGTAACAAATCCTTTGGCAAAAATGGAATTGTAAAAGAAACGATAGAGCTCTAGCTCGGAAAAGGCAGCAAACGTGCATACAATACGCAAAAATTGATCGAAAGTCATTTCAGTCATTTCATTCGTGACATCAGAAAGGCGAAGTAAGCTTTCAGTCAAAATTTGAGACCGTGCAAATACCTTATCAGTATCAACCAAGTATAAGAATCCATGAATTGACAAATTGTCGCTTTGTGATGTCTTCTCGCTGTCAAACATTCGACGAAGGTATTTGACGTCACCTCTAGTCATTCCGAGTCCCTTACACATTTGCTCGGTCTCCACGCTCTCAAGCAGATGGCCGTAAATGGCAGATACAAAACTTCTTCGTCGTTGGGGTGACATGTGGCTTTTTGACGCCATTACTGCTATTCTTGTTGGCTTTAATGATCGACGCTGGATTTGACCCATGAAAAGTGCTTTACGCTCATATCTTGAAGTTTAGCTTTGGTTGAAGTTAACTGGCGCGGGAATAAGCTCGTGCCGTTTCAGTTTGTCCACTTCAAGCACAAACAGCACCGGCACACATTGGGAGGAAATCTATATACAGCATAAGTGGACGGTCGCATAAGCATTGGAGATTTGAAGTCTTTTTATCGTCAACACTGCACTGTGCAAGATCAAATACTTTAAAGAAAAAAGTGTTATGCTGACATCCTTCACGTGATATAAGGAGAAATGTGAGTAGGACAGAGCTGCTTAACGTCAGCGAATAAGCTTCGATCAAGTCATATGCATCTTCAAAATGCGACGAGATGATGACATATTTTCGATACAAATGGATAGGAAGTTTCAGTCTCGGACCAGAGAATTGATGCCTTTTGATATCACATTTGCAAGCGTATTCAGTTGGCGGCACGCCCTTTTGGCAAAGAATTTTTCTTTTGCTGTGGTAGGCTCATGCAGTATAATCGCCAGCCAGGTGGCATTTTTTTTTTGCTAGAGATATTGAACAAATATCATCGGACTGAATTGAAAAACCGTTTCAGGCATAACGCATTAGTACACTTAAAATTACTTTGACGGCTTTAATATTTCTCTCAAAATATGTGTACTTAACAAGTATGTTGACATACCATCCGATTATCTTTGAACGCTAAGATCCTAGAGCTTACATGACAAACAAATACAGCGCCAACAGCAACGTGAGCACGAATGTGAAGAAACACTTTAAAAAAAAAGTGCGGGAGGCAGTAGTGCAATTTGGGGACAGCTTCACCGCTGCAAGCAAAACACCACTGTCAATTCGCACTTGGTATGCAGAGTCGCTGTCAGCTTTTTTTTCTTGTTGCTGCCGCATCTTTGCGGATGAAAAAGTCTGCTGCAACTTTTCTAATGCTGGTAATGTCATACTGCGTCCTGCTGCTAGCTCAAACACGTCGCGAAGCTCAGCTTCAAAATTTGTCTGCAACGGCGGGCATGCCATCAAATCGGACTGAAATTGGATACATCAGTAAAATGAAAAGTTAGGGTTAATAACCACATTAAAGGTGCTAATTGACTCATGTGAATATACCGTCATGACAGACTTGTAATCGCTCGAAGGTACCACTAGACCAAGATCAAATGCCTTTATGACAAAACTATTAAAAATCCAGTCGGGCAAAGGAAGAAGCACCATGAGTGATTGCACAGGGAAAAGAGTTGCAGCGCTTGTATCTGGAATTGAAACTCGACCCGACTTGCTTTTGTTCACAGTAGCTGCACTTGCGACAATTTGAAAGAGCTCATCCATCTCCACTAGCACTTGCAAGAAAAGAAAGCGTGTTTTGCGATCCCTTAATCCATCTATAACACTTTTCCCTGTCAATGCATTGATGTAATAAAAGGTGCGCAGCATCGTACACCCCCACTTCATTGCTGCATGCGCACACAAAATAAGTACAATACAGCACTTCACAAATGAAATAGCAAGAATAACCTTGGATATTGTGACGACAGAGTACTCGAATTCCTGTGCTCTCGAGTAAGTCTAGTGCATAGACTGCCGAAGACTTCTCCTTTCTACGATCTCAAAAAGTGCTTAGCTTCGAACTGAACTTCAACCTGAACACCTATACTTACGACAATCTTTCCACAAAGAAACACCCTCTAGATAGAGGTCTAAGCAGTCCTCGATCGTCTTTCACTACGTGGAAAGCTGCACCTCCATGCACTACTATAGCCTCTGGCAGTCTTTAGAAAGTAACAAATTCCAATCAGCAACACCTCTAAGAAACAAGAGCCTTTTGACGTACGCAATATTGAGCTGAGCAAGCCGACGCATTGTTGTCTGAATACTGAGCACTACACGCTTCGGCCTATTTTCACAGGAATTCCCAAACATCTTGTGCAAATACTCGGCCACTTTTAATGTCTCGTCCGCTTCGACCATCAACAGCCACAGATCACACTCATGCAGGGTTTTTAAATCTACTGTCGCTTCAAATGTATCTGCAGAGATTTTGCTGCTATCTAACACGACGCCATCACAGCGCAGTGCCAAAGCATCAGTGTCGCTTTTGCTCTTATCTGATCCTTTGTATTTGTCGTGTTTCGCAGCACCTATAAGCCATGTTTTCGCACAGCGGCCGCTAGCTGCTAGACACAACGCTATATACTGTGCAAGCTGTTTATATTCAAGCGACAACTCGCTTTTCCTCGTATACACCACGCCAACGCGCGGTAACATCTTGAATATTGCGGAGTTGACAATCACTCCGAAGTGGTCGCTTATTGGTGCTATACTCACAACTTAAATTAGCCAATTGTTTACCGACACTTTGCGATTTCCCTCCTCATATTGAAGGATCCACGAGGGTCAAGATGGCGGGCGTGACGAATGAGCGCTACTGCACAGTATTGCTACAGCAGGTGACTAATGAAAAGGCGATTCCTCCTTCACAAGATGAGATTCTGAAGGGTCTTGAGTCGCCGAAAGTGGAGCTCAAAATTCAGGCCGTAAAGAGCGCCATCCTCGCGCTCCTACAGGGAGAGAAACTGCCAAAGGTGCTTATGCACATCATTCGCTTTTGCTCCACGCAGAGTGATCACACGTTAAAGAAACTACTTATGGTTTTCTGGGAGATCGCACCAAAGTATGAGCAGTCAGGTACGGGTGATAAGATCGCACCCAAGCTCCTTCCAGAGATGATATTGGTGTGTAATGCCCTACTGAATGATTTAAATCATCCAAACGAGTACATTCGTGGCTGCATGCTGCGCTTTCTTTGCAGAATCAAAGAGAAAGAAATTTTAGAGCCGCTGAAAGATGCTGTCAAGAGCAATTTAGAGCACCGTCACTCATACGTGCGCAAGAATGCTGTCATGACAGTCTACACCATGTACAAAACCTATGGAGATATGCTGATTCCCGATGCTCCAGAACTTATTGAACGGTTTATCCTTTGCGAGACCGATGCTGGAGCCAGACGCAATGCTTTTCTTATGCTTAACGAATGTGCCCAAGACAGAGCCATGACATTTCTTATGAACGCTATGGATCAGGTCCCGAAGTTTGGAGATGGATTCTCGCTCGTGATCCTTGAGATGACGCGTAAAGTTTGTCGCCAGGACCCTGCCCAGAAAGCACGTTTCGTTCGCTGTGTCTTTCAGCTACTCAACTCATCATCCCCAGCTGTTAGCTATGAGGCGGCTTGGACTCTTGTCACATTGTCGGCTGCTCCCACAGCAGTGCGTGCGGCTGCAAAAACGTACAGTGGACTGCTTAATTCACAGAGCGATAATAATGTGAAGCTTATTGTGCTGGATCGACTTGCGGATTTGAAGAAATACCATACAAAAGTATTGCAGGAAATTCTTATGGATATTATGCGCGCGCTCAGCTCGCCAAATCTAGATATTTGCAGAAAAGTACTGGATATTGCTATGGATCTTGTTTCAGTACGTAACATCGATGAAGTTGTGACTCATTTGAAGCGGGAGGTAGTTAAGACTCAAGACAAGACGCGCGAAAAAGCTGGTGAGTACCGCCACTTACTCATTAAAGCTATTCATGCTTGCGCTGTCAAGTTTCCAGAAGTTGCCAATGCTGTGGTGCATTTGTTAATGGAGTTTCTCAACCAGCCTGATGGTGCTATGGATGTTATTCTTTTCGTACGCGCAATGTGCGAGAGCTACCCAGATCTACGCGAGAGTATCCTACAAAAACTGATGATTTCATTCTCTGAGATTTCACGGGCTAAAGTTTACCGTGTCGCCCTCTGGATTCTTAGTGAATATGCAACCCTACCACCCGAAGATGGTACGGAAAGTGACACCTCTATATTTGAGGCGGCAAATACAATATTCACTGTTATCGGTAGTCTTCCCTTGGCAACGGAAGCCATGCTCAAGACGCCAACTGAAGATACTGAAGGTCCTGAAATCGCAGCTGGTACCGGTGCAGCGTACTCGAAGCCCGTTACTAAGAGTATCGTGCTGGCAGATGGCACGTATGCCACAGAGACCTCATATTCTGGCCCAGCTGCAAAATCTGCGATAGCTGAAGATGAGAATGTGCCAGGTCTTCGACGATTGTTGCTGAACGGAGACTTCTTCCTTGGCGCGGCAGTGGCTTCGACTTTAACTAAATTGTGCCTTCGTTTATCGAACGGCGATCTTGCAAGCGCTACAGCCCGCGACGTTGCGATCAAAAAGTTAGTGGTGACTTCTACTCGCTATATGTGCGCAATTGTGGCTTTTGGACAGGCAAAGACAAGCAAGCACGAGATAGATCAAGATTCTGCACGACGTATTCTTATGTGTGTGCGTGTCCTGCTTGATCCTGCAAGCGCCCAGGCCATGCATACTATCATCACCGAGGAGTGCCGTGATGCTTATCGCCGACTTCTCGACACGCAAAAGATGCAAGAGTCTGAAGCTGCGCGTGCTGCTGGTGGTGATAGTGAGCCACTCACACAGGTGGACGAGCTAATTAATTTTCGGCAGCTCCGCGGCAAGAAGGCTTTGGGCTCGACTGACATTGATATTGATGATGGTGCGGACATTAATCGAGCCCTTGGTCAACAAGGTGACGACTCTAATGAGTATGCTGGAGCTATGCGGCACGTGCACCAGCTAACAGGTTTTGCAGATCCCGTGTACGCCGAAGCGTACGTCACGGTGCATGACTACGACATCTTGCTGGAAATTTTAGTGGTTAATCGCATTCCCCAAACGCTAACAAACCTTACAGTGGACCTGTCCACGATTGGTGACCTTAAGCTTGTAGAGCGCCCTCAGCCGCAAACCATAGGACCGCTTGACCAGCGCACGATTCGTGCCAACATCAAAGTAAGCTCTACGGAAACCGGCCACATTTTTGGCAACATTGTGTACGACTCGGCTTCAGGAGCTGAGAAGACATACGTAAATTTAAATGACATCCACATGGACATAATGGACTACATCAAGCCAGCCACGTGCACGGATTCTGCCTTCCGTTCAATGTGGGCTGAATTTGAATGGGAGAATAAAGTGGCGGTGAACACAGACCTATCGAATGTGTTTGAGTTCCTTCAGCACGTGGTCGACAAGACAAATATGCGCTGCATGACCCCGACAGCATCCCTAGGTGGAGATACGAATTTCTTAGCAGCCAATCTGTATGCTAAGAGTGTATTTGGCGAAGATGCTCTCGTTAATCTCAGCGTAGAAAAGCAGGATAATGGTCGCATTGCTGGGTATATCCGCATTCGCAGCAAGACTCAAGGAATTGCACTCAGTTTGGGCGATCGCATCACAGCTGTCCAGCGCGGCAAAGATGACCAGAGCAAGCGGAAAAAGTTACTCGTCTAGGCTGCATTGAATAATAAGTGCAGAGTCGAATTGAGTAAAGCAGCTTAAGTTCACGTTAAGACAAGGGAGAGAATAGTAGTGCTTGGAATGTACTGAAAGAGAGATCTAAGAACACGTTAACAACCTAATCTTGTGAACTACTTGTTTTTTCTATAAAAGTTTGATTTGACCAGTGCTCACCATGGTGGGGTATCGATAATGGCAATGGTGAAAATATCTGTAGCTTCCGACTCCTCTGTTTCTCTATGGTTCCTTTCCTTTGTAAGTAGCTCAATCCCCCAAAGCGGACCATACACGTTAAGGTTGTCAGCTTTGCCCACCACCCTAGGAAACGAATTGTCTCCAGTTAAGCTCCTTGTTCTTTTTCGATTGATGTTCGAATCATCATTGTGATGCCGAACATTGACCTCGATGCTTACCTTGACAGGAGACAAAGTGGATGTCTTTGTTTTGGTCAGGTGAGTTTCGAACCATTCGCCGAGACGATGAGAAACCATCACGACCGGTACATTCAGAATCTCATTCGACGCATCCTCAGCTTCCTTATCAACACCTTCCATCACGAGCACAAGATCGTTCTCTTCATTGTTGACAATGATGATACCAGCAGCGCCCCACTTCATCGCATTTTCTGCTTTCTTTTCAAAAAAGCATTTCCCTCTTTGGACAAGCAATATATTACCAGCAATTTCTTCAGTTACGCTTGACAATTCATCACACCCGTCAATTGGATCAGCAATTACGACTTCTCCCTCGGGAAACGCACGTGACATTTTGAGTGAGCTTGTCGCACCAAAATTAGCTCCTACACAAGGTACTGTCAACGACACGTAGGAGCTGTCCGCAGTTGGTCTTGTTGTCGCGTTGCGCAGTGATTTGATGGAAAGCATTTTTTTGTCTATTTGAACGTGAAGCGAGCAGTGCTGTTCTACAGGTAACGTCAAATCATCTTCCACCTTGTACACATGGTACTGTCCAAGATTCGGTGGACGATAATCATTATCGTGCCCTTCTTCGTCATCCAAAGTGTACGAATCAGCATCGAGTTCAATATTGTCGAATCCTATTCCAATGAGCAATTGGCTACCCTCAGCAACCGTTGCTACATCAATCCAGTCACCGGTTTCTTCTCGAGTTACGCGCACGCGCCCAAGAAGTTGCTCAACTCGAAACTCACCAAGCTGAATACCTCCGTACAAATATTGCACCAATGGGCTACTAAAATCTTGCTCCGTCATAGATTCGTCACTATAAGAAGCTGCTTTAACAAATTTTTCCAGCCATTTGATATCAGTATTCTTTGCGATGCTTTTCTGGAGCTTGTGTTCCAGCGCTGGAAGCCATTCCTTGAGTAGACTTGAAGCTAAACTTTCTTGATTTTTCGTTAGAACCTTGCTCTTTGTTGTAATGTTTGACTTTAATGTGTCTGAATCTGTCATTGCAATAAGTTTTAATTCAGACATCGCATTACTGATCGATCCAGATCGTTCCAGATTTTTGACCGCAGCCTGAGATGCCTTGAGGAGAAGAGCAGGAGATGGTGCACGAGGTAAACACTGAGTAGTACGAGCGACAAATTCGCCTTCGTAACGGAGAGAATAATTGACGAGCTCGTAAAATTTTGGCGCTTTACATTGCATAACTCGTCCAGCCGAAAATGGAGCGCTGGATGCCGCTTTGATGCTGCTAGTGTATGCATCATCTGCATCTAAGATCCGCTTAACCAGCTTTGTCGGTAGGATTGGAAGTGGATGGGCTTCGGTGGTCATTACATAATTGCCCTGGCGAAAAAAATGAGTTGTATTGAATAGCAAGTAAAGGTACTTGCAAGTTTCAGAAAGAAAAAATGACGGCATGTAATCTTCCTGTTTTTTAGTCTCGACGTCGGCTATGCTCGCATAGCCACATGAAGTCTTGGTATATTTTTGCAGTGAATGAACTACGTGAGCACCAGCGCGCAGCCAGGACGAGTCGTTAGTCGCCTCATGCATATAAAAAGTCGATTCAATCAGCTCTGGTCGTAGTGGATAACGGGCTCCATTACCATTTCGTAGTTTGAGAGGCTTCCAGTCTCTAACATTGAAATGCTCAGAAAGAAACCCATAGTCTCGCCAAACGTGATAAAAGGCGTTCATGGAATCTGCAGCAGCCTTAATATCACCTGCAGCAACTTGCATACCAGGCCAGAAAGCGGCAAGGTTTTCAAAAAATACAGTCGCGCTTCCGCTGCGACCGTGACAACCAGTATACATGGAAACATCTGTATACCAGTCTCCATGTTTGTTATGAAACAGCACAGCCGGGTACACTTGTGTAAACATATCTAAGGCCTCCTGATCACCAAAAAGCTCGTACATCTTCATTAAGTACTCGTAAAAGCTATCTGAGTTAGTTCCTGGGCCCGATGAAAATTCAGTCCATTCACCATTAGTTGTATTAATGTGCTTTCCAAGAAGTCCAAGTTTTGAGCGGCGAATAAAGAGCGCTCGAACAGCTCCCCGCGCTGCTACAGCATACTTCGGATCTCCTGTCAAGACACTTAGCATGGTAAATTCAATTGAGAGTGATCCAGCACCAGCAGTTGATGCAATCGGCGTTTCTCCCTTTGGTACACCATGCCTCAAATTAACTGTACCGATTGGAATACCCGTTGCAGTATCAAACGCAGGCAACAAACGATCTCCTAAATCTACGGCTAGCAGCAGTAGAGTACCGTCATATCCACCATTCGGAAATAGCTGTAGCTCTGGATCTATCGCAAAAAGATGTGCCGATAGCAGCCCACCCAGTATTCGTATGGTTGTCTCGAACACAGACACTTCGGTGTCCATATTAAAGTCGGCATTTTTTACCACCAATTCCACAGCACGTCGAAATTCTGTCGCGTCTTCCAGAAGGGCTAATGTATCTAATGTATCAATTAGCGTCAACATTGGAAGGCGTCCGAGCTCGAACTCTCCACCTTTACACGAAAGGGGCAGCAAATCATCCTGTGGGAATGCATTCGCCATATAGCCATTGTACGCATGATAGAACATTTCCTTCACTGTTTGAGTCAATGCCATGCGTTCTTCTTCATCCATGGACGTCGGTGCAGTAAAAACAAATTGATCTCTCTGCATCAGTCCGCAAGCTACTGGTGAACACACATTCAACTCGTACTCACATTGCGATTTTTCTTCCACAGAATCAATGTAGGCTTCATTATCATGCAGAGCACAACACTTGACTTGCAATTTTACCGACCGACGCGTGCCTTCGTATTCACAGAGATCACCTGAGTTGTATTGCTGCTGAGCCATGTAACCCATCCGATCAGGGTCGGCAAGTCGAGCTAAATTATCCACAGCCAAAACTCGCAATGGATGTGGCTTGTGCGCATCGAATGTACCGAGTAAAATGCTCTTTTCCTGACCTTTAACTTGCGGATGGAACTGTCGTACGTATTGATCAAAACACCATTCGTAATGCCACCAAGCACCACCTACGTGGTACCGCAGACAGCTTTCTCCACGCATTGTTCGCTTCAAGCGATTTTTAAAAGCGCGATAACTGTCCCCAGACAATGTGTGGAGCCCATTGAAGTGCGAGAGGACAGCAGGACTGTCTTCAGCTTGAGTTTCACCTTGCGCAACGCCGTTGACAACCAATAATGATATGCACGTCATGAGAAATACATATGTATACGAGGTCTTGACAGTTGCAGCAGCATGAAAAGAAGAAGGAAGTCGGCCACAAACATTCCAGCGCGGCTGACGCGGCAGCAGCTGAGACTGCATAGCTGAAATTGGACAATCGTTGGAAGTTAAATGTTGTACAAGAGGTCTTGTAGTCAGTATGAAAGGTACAGTCTAAAATGATATTGTACTTCAAGTCTCATCTTTTATAATCCATATATGAAAACTAATCATTAAACGATTTTATAATTTCTGAGACTTGGTGTTCGGGCTTTGTAAGGAAATGAGGTGTCTTCAATTTTATTTGGTATGACAAAATATGTGATAATAAAGACAATACGATTAAAAGGTGGTCTTGGACAATGAACTTACCCAAAAAGACAGTAAATTGAATCATGGCTGCAGACTTACAACTCTATGGTGATAGCATTAAAGATCTGCGAATGTTTCTCACGACACATTTAAGCCCCGACCAGCTGAGTCAATCGAAGTTTAAAAAATTACTTTATAGTGAGAGGAACGATGTGCTTACACCGTCTGAGTTGCGTCAAGTATGGGAGTTGATAAGCGAGTTGCGAGCTTTAAACCCATCAACGCCTACTCTGATGTCATTTTTGCGTCAGGGGCGAGGAGTTCAAGTTCGTGTTGAGGCTAAAGAGCAATTAAAGGATGAACAAGATAACGAGAAGAAGACCAAGTACCTCGCTAGTCGTCGCAGGAAACTCCAGCGCTTGGACGAGGAGATGCGCTACAGCAGCATGGTGCGCAATGTTAAAACGCGATCTGTAGACAAGGAGCTATTGCATCATCAGACCAATATACGCCAGCATCTTTCCATTGGAGCCAATATGGTCATGGCTCGACTCACAGCATTCATTGCTGTTTATTTTTTAGCTCGAAATCTCACACAGAACGAGACAACGGTAAGTTTGATGGTGGATGATGCTATTAATTCATACTAAATGTTCTTGGTTCTACTATGCAGAGACTTGTTGCTGGACTTGTTGGTGCCATCTTCATGATGATCATTGAGATGATATTATTTATAACACGAGCAGCCAAGATTGAGAGTATAGAACACGAAAGTAAGAAACAGAAGAGTGTCTTCTGAAAACGAGAAGTTGATACATTTATGGGTCAGATCGTAAATAGGGTAATTTACTGCCCATTTTAAGTAATATTCTTAAACATTCTACCCAAAATACGCTTTTTGATTAATATTTTAATGAATTACGTGGTTGAGTTACAAAAATTGCTATAAAAATGTATCCCATAAAACCATTACTGGAGTATAACTTTATTGTGCGGTTAGCATTTCGACGTTTGCACACTATAAATTTTGTGTAGCAAAATGTCAAGTCAATGGGTTTTGTAGCAAAGTAATACGTTTACTATGACAAACGTGGTGTTGTTCTATATAATATAATCTAAAAGACCTGTGCACGTTCGCTTTTTCTCAGAATGTTCATCGTACGTGGTGCACACAATTCATCGGCACAGAGCTGATTCGCAAAAAGTGCTTCTAAGGTCTCGATGACGCGAATGCTGCTGATCATTGCGCTGCTCTGCTGCTCGTACTCTCTCGCTGAGCCTGCCACTGCGACAATCTGTAGACTCCGTTCTTCATCTCAATCAATGAAATCTGATTTCTAATTCTGTGTATTTTATTCTTCAGTACCATCTCGATGGCTGGACGAGGGCGTGACTGACATGAGTGAAGTCGTGACATGGGGACATCAGCAAAGATTTTGTTTTTATGAAAATGCTTCGCTTCATATTCGTATGGATCCTCTAAACAGGTTATACTTATCTTATTAACTGTAAAGAATAGATTCATTATGGCTAATAGACGGTTTTGTGGATAAAAGCACACTTCAACCGGCGCTAATCCAGTCGCTCGGCCAGTCACGTGAGGCGAATGCTCTATTTAATATGACCAATGCCACACTCTGGTACTTGCAGAGAGTTGCATGGCCCTTACGTCCGGTTTTTTGGACCTGGACCGAGTTGCGAGTTGTGGTGAAGAGTCCAAAAGTTCATCTGTTGAGCTTCACATATACACGGTAGATTTTTTGTTGATATGATACAATTTCTTGATGTTTGATTGATATGATGTGCTTTTGTAATAGGACTCCGCGAATGTTATGTCGAAGTGTATTAAAGGCAGTGCAATTGACTCTTACACTAGAAAATTATGTACCTCCATTCGTCGTTCAGGTTGTTGAAAAATTGGTGTTTGTGATGTGTACGTTGGATTAAGAGTTGTGTGCTTTCATACCGTGCTAATTTGCTCAATTTGATTTTTATCAGCCAAATTGTTGTGTGAGAACTGCGTTAATGGCTGTCCGCTCAAGTGCAGGGAATTAGAAGATGGAGGTACATGCATGCTCGAACTCAGTCCGTACCACGCACCATGCATTACAGTTACGGGTCCTTTACAGCCATTTATCTCCACAGTGACACCACACTTTTTTTATGACTTCACGTTTTACACATGTACGCATGAGTTTTATGATATGGCGTTCTGTGAAAGTATTTGGCGCTGATTTGACACTTCTACATATTGCAGATCTAACGTGGGTGTACGCTCAAAACTTTTTTCTGGGTCTACTGTTGTTTTATTCTTCTGAATGGCTCTCGCGATCGCGCTCTTTCCACTACTTATTGGGTGCCACTGTGGGTGTATTGTTCTCAGCGCTTCTTGCTCTCTATCTCTTCCAGCGTCAAGCTCGAAATAGTACAAAATTCTTGCCCGGAGCTCAAATTGTGTCGTCATTACTATCTATGGCAACGGTAGCGGTGCCAATCACAAGTTTCGTGATCATGCCGAATCTATATCGTCTCGGAACATGGGCAATCTCGTATCTTGTTTACTTATGGAATCGGGAGGTTCTGTTCGGTATCCCACACTTGGGTAAGATTTATTTTGCTTTTTTTGCGATCTTTGGATGCGTACTTGTATGGTGGTATCAGTGGGGTGCATCTGCAAAGGTGGATACTATCGCACAAGATGAAGAGGATAATGGAGAGATTGACAATTTGGACGAGGAGTTGCCACCACCGACGAATTCGCAGCTCATCATATCACGTTCTTTGAAGCTAGTTGGCATGACATTGTTATTTTACAGCACATCATCGACCGAGACGTCGTTGTTGTTGATACTTTTAGTATCGCTCACGCGCGTGTTTGAAATCATTGCTACAATCGCGTACTTTTGGTATCATTTCGAAAAGCCTGGTCGCCATAGTAACTTAATCACAAAATCTCAATACGAGAAACAAGGACAATTTGAAACAGAGAAAGCGCTAGCTCAATTGCAGGAGCATTTGAAACAACATCCGGAAAAGTTGGACTTAGTTCGAGAAGAAAATGAAATTCGGCTCCGAAGATTTACCAGAGGTCGCAACCATTTGGACGTGGCGACGCAAGAGTCGATGCTTTCTCGCCAGCCCAAACAACGGCGGTCGTTCTGGTCGTATTGCTCCATTCAGTAGGTCATCAGTAGCAATAGAAGAGGAAGCAGAATTTACAATAAGAACAAGGTACGCTCTTTATGTATTGGCACATCTCGCGTATCTGATGACCTGTCAAAAGTTAAGAAATGAACATTTTATCACGTTGGTTATGTATTAAGTTATCCTGACTAGAGAGGTAACCATTAGATTTCTCGCGTTCTTTGTAGCATGATCAAGTCGCGATTTCGTGTCCAGATATCGTCAGACGATATATTGCCGTCCATCTTGCTAATGGTTTTATCTTCAAACACCAAGTCATCGTCATCATTGGTAATTCCGTGGACACGGGATTCATGACGAATCGTCTCTTGAAGACGCTGCCACGAGTAACCGGAACAAGAAGAAGAAGACAACATTGGAGTTTCTTGTCGTCGAGAGTGGAAATCTGACATTTCTGGTTGACTGCGTTGCCACACTAAAGCAGGATTGTGCAAGTCTTTATGAACCATATGTGACTCATGACTACCTCGATTGTCTCGCTCGAATGAAACAACAGGTCTCCGAATGGGTGGAATTGGAGTATTTCGACAAAGCACGTCTGATCGATTTGCCATTAACATTGTATCGAGTGGAGGAAGCAATCGACGCGGAGGTAACGATAGCGCTGGAATCGAGCATTCACTTGCTGACGACCACAAATGCATCTTTGATAGTGAAGCGTGGGCTGGTGGAAAAGTTGAAGATGTCAGTCTGCTACGAGATCCAGTCATTGACAGCGTGGATCGTCCACCATGAGCAAAGCAAAAGCCTCCTTTGCGAGCAGTAGTCGTACAGCCTTCAAAGACACACCGCTTTCCGCCACCATGGGCAATGCAGCGACCACGACTTACGGCACTATTGGCGCAATTGTCTACAATACATCGTCGTCCACCACCATGAGCTTTGCAGAGACCTAGACGCTGAGCACTGCTGGTACAGGCTTCAACAGTACATCGCTTGCCACCCCCATGTGCAATACAGCGACCACCAGTTTTGGCACTACTCGAACAATCTTGTATGGCACATCGACGACCGCCACCATGTGCTCGACATCGGGCACCACTCACTGCACTACTGGTACAGCCCGTCACTTCACATCGATGCCCTCCACCATGTGCGATACAATATCCACCTTTCTTGGCACTTGATCCACAACCTTCTCGTTGACAACGTCCACCTCCACCATGAACGTAACAGAGGCCTCGACTTTGTGCACTACTCATACAATCTGGTACTTGACAACGCCGGCCTCCACCATGACTTCGACATAATCCACTTGAAGCAACATGCTTCTTACATCCTTCATGACTACATTTTCGTCCACCGCCATGTTGCACGCAGAGATTACGACCAACTGTACTACACGTACAATTTGACGGACTATGGGATACATTTAAATGTTCAGACTCGATCTGCTTCAAACAAGTCGAGAATCGACCATGAGCTTCAACCTCATGATCGTCCGAAGAACTGGAAGTTTCGGAAAAATACGCGTGATTAAGTTTTATGTCTTTTAAAGAGTGTGAAGCTGCACGATCTAGTTGACGAAGCGTGCGTTTCGACTTGTTGGGAGTTCGCATCTCTAAGCCTATAATTTTCATTCTTCTAGCACCTTTGTTTACTATAACACGCTAGGACTTTTGGAAGCTCGCCGACTTCAGCTTTGTCACAGCACTTGGATTGCAAAATGAAGCACGTCCAACGTTTTTGGTGAATTGCCAGAAAGAGACTTAGAAACTTGCGTGGAGCGACGTGCGTGGCAGCCGTCAAGCCGCTCGAGGTCGACACCCTAGCATTATGGGACGAGACTTTCAGATGGTTTGGGACCACGACGATCTCTCTAGCAGCTTCTAGAGGTGGGAAAAACATTTTGAACACGAGAAACGTGCCGTCCTGTCCCGGATGCCTTGGGCTGTCATAGTGACCGATGTCGACTAGTAAGAACCTACGCACTTTCTTCGCAAGACTCAAACATTGAAAAACGCTGCACATCACTTAACGGCAAAGTATACAGAGAATTAGAAACACATTCTAGTCTTCCTTTTCGAGCTTAATTTCGAGCATAATAGCGCTTTTACGCTTCTGCTTAGCAAAAGCCGAGGGCACCTCAAGTTGGTACATAAGCACTTCAGACTCTGGTTTCTCATGTAAAGTATTAAGTGGCACTTGACAAGAGCCAATAATGTCGTCCTTTGAAATGCGATCATGATCAAACACTTTGACATCCAGCACAGCCGATTGAATATCCTCGGCGATGAATGAAAAAGTCTCTTCAGGATCCCACTCTGGATTGAGGTTGGCTTGGATTACAGAGCTTTTACGCATCGTATTAGCGAGTTGGAAAATCACATACGGATCGCTTTTGCCGTTAAAGTCAGCGGATGGCAGATCGACGGCCTTGACGAGTGTCACGTGCACGGCGTGCATTTTGTCGCTGATAGTATGAAGTATGAAGTCACTTGTTACAAAGTGAACGACAAAGGTGCAATCACTAAATCTTTAAGTTGCAGAAGTCACTCTATGCCTAGAAGATTCTTTCGAGCTCAACATAAGTTTTTGTCTGATGGTACTGATATAAACATGCATGCATCACGAAGACGCAGACCATCATGTTAGAAACGAATTCCTCAGTTTAGTTGCTGGCTTCAACGTGACAGGTGCGTATAAGATTAAAGCTGCATTTTATGTCCTACGATTCCTAGCCACACGTCTAGCAGCCGATTGGTAATTTTCCGATATTACCATGTGGTGTGAAGAAAGGTTTCAACCGTATACGTCACTGCATAATTGTATGGTCCAGAGTAATTTTTCCATATTATCTGTAAAAATTTCATGAAATTTTCATTGTAGCTTTAATTACCCGAAATTCAAATAAACAACTCTACACTTTAAGCAAGTATAAAGTCAAAAAGACCCACCGTCTGTGCGTTAGTAAAGCGAATGCTACAAATTAAAGCTTCTCTGTGCAAAGATCACGACAAGTCCATCGTATACACCCTCGTTGTTCCAAAAGAGTTTGATAGATTCGGTCTAGATCCAATAATAATCATTGATCATGTTGACATACATCGCAAATTGTGAATAAAATGAACAGCGCGATCGAAGTGCCATGCGGTGACTTTATCGGTTGCTGTACAGTTGTGGTAAGAAATCATGTCTGATATGGATTGACGACTAAACAAACGTCGAGTGACCGACAGTCCATTGTATACATGTTGAAAAATTGCAAGGTAAAAGTCCGTGAGTAATTCGTCAGTAAATTCCGGATAGTAATAGTAATTTGTATACTGTTTTCCTACGAGAAGGCAACATACGAAATGTGTTACAGCACAACACAGTGTCAGTCGGTCCGAATCTGGAAAGACGACGGAATAGACAGCATGAGCGGCATGTACACGCTACAGGTGACGCTAATGTGCGCAGGTGATTTACCATCCGGTGATTTTGGATTTATGGGCATGGGTGGCAAAAGCGATCCGTACGTGGTGTTTAAATTAGGGCGTGTGAGCCAAAAGAGCTCCGTAGTGCAAAATAGTCTCAATCCACGCTGGACACCAGCTGAGACGTTTCAATTTCAAGTCGATCGACCCAAGGAAAAGTGTCTGGAAGTTCATGTGATGGACTATGATCGTTTTTTAAAGGATGACTGTATTGGCAATGCTAACATCGCTTTAGCTCCGTTTCTTGAGAAGAATCAGTCAGAACTTGTGTCATACGAACTTGAGGTACCACCGAACTATGACAGACAAAAACGCAAGTCTGTTCTATTTCTCGAGATTAAATTGACGTCAAATGAACGTATTGATCAAGTTCTTGAGCTTTGGGAAAATCAACGTTTTCATATTGTCAAAAAGTGGACAACTGATACGCTCATTTCAGGCTCAACCGAACGCAAGCGCTGGAGTTCCGTTACAGATGCCAACATTTCATCGAATGTCTTTGAAGAAGTTGCACCAAAGGTACCAAAACATTTGATAGCTGAAGGATGGACTCTTGATGTGTCTCAAGGCGATGATAATGGATGGATCTACGCGCCGTCTTTTTCAGGACCGTGGCAAAAGGACCCTTTCACACTAGCTATGGTCCGACGACGCAAGTGGATCAACAGATGCACAGCTCCCGATAATCAGTGAACAAAGAGAACAGTAAGTAGTAGTAATGAACAGTTTAAATGTTCATTTGATTCTAGTCTGAGTACAGAACGAAAGAGCCTGACTAGAATGAATATAGTGAGTGTTGTGATGAGTCTAGACGAAGTTTTTGATCTTTAAGAAAGAAAAACTTCACTTTTCGCCATGATTCTATATGCCTAAGCACTTCGTTTCTTACTTGAAATTATGTCGAGTGTTTACGCGAATGCCTTGCTCCACATTTTCTTTTCCTTGTCAAGCTGGCGACGCAAAGCAAGCTTTAGACGCTCATCGAGCTTAAGAATAGCACGATCTTGAGGTGCGAGAAGCAGCGCAGCTTTGACGTCCGCAGCTGCTAGCTCAAGTTTCTTCTCTTTCTCGTACGCCATGGCGCGGCGATAAAGTGCCTTGACGTTTTTAGATTCCAAAGCCAGCGCTTCATTGCAATTCGCTACTGCTTTCGAATAACTTTCCAATTTGAGGTAGCACTGCGCAAGATTCAAAAACAGACTGAGCTTAATCGCGTTCACTTCTTCCTTGTCACCCTCCGACAAGTCAAAGAATTTCGACGCATGAGTCAAAGCTTTGACGTAGCGAGCAGCGGCGTGTTTGAAATTACCATCTCGGAAAAGCTCATTACCTTCGTCTTTATTTTTCACCACCATACGCATGCGTTCCGGTTTCTTTAGCTTGCGAGTATCGTGATCATCATCACCCCCTTCGTTCTGACGTTCGAGTTCAGCCTTCTGTGATTCGTTTTCAAGATGCTGTTCAAACGCACGTTGGTCTGCCTCGACAGCTGAAAAGTAGTCTGCACAAGCAGAACGAATTTCCCCTTCGATTGACTCGTGCTTTGAGCGAATAAAGTCCAACGTAGCAGTCTCTGATTCCTCCGAGTAGATCCAGTCCTCAGCAGCATCCAGGAGTGGGTTTAACTTGGATAAATCGAGCTTGTCTCCATACTTTCCGCTGCTCTTCGATCGCATTTCATAAACAAATGACTCAATGGCATTACGCTCATGAGCGATTGCAGCCAATTCAGCATCACGAGCTTGATACGTCTGCTCCAGCGCAACAAAGCGAGTTAATTCTTCCGTATCCTCGTGAGTCTCTAAAGTTAGCGTATCAGGTGCAACCACCACTTCACTCGAGTAAGCAGCACCGAGAGCAATGGCCGTGGTCGAATCAAGCATACGACCGATTAAATCAGCGTTACGTTGCTGCTCAGCAGGAAAAGCGGCAATGATGGCTTCCTGTACAAACGGAATTCGAGTCCCGCCACCAACAATTTCTACTGACGCAATGTCGGCACTGGCAACGTCTTCCTTAGCCATTGCTAAAGCATGTTGGACCATCTCAGTCACACGGTTGCGCTCAACAACACAGAGCTCTTCAAAAGCGTTGCGAGAGATCGAGATGTTAATATCGTTCTCAGGTGCAAGGTTTTCCACCGTCACACTAGCTTCACCGATAGTAGACAGCAATTTCTTAAGCTTTTCGCATGCCTGATATAATCGTTTTCCCTCCTTCGAATGAAGTGAGATGTCTAGCTGGTGGTTCATTTGAACATCCTTTTGAAAGTATTCAAAGAGTCGACGATCAAGTGTCTCGGCACCAAGCTCGACATCACCTTCTGTAGCCAACACCGTTTCACCCTCGGACGTCAGCTTAACAACTGTAACGCTAGTACTGGTGTGGCCCATATCTACAATAGCAATGTATCGAGGAGTTTCCATTTCAACGTCACCGTCACCAGATACAGGAACTTTCACAGGGTGTTTGCAATGAAAACATCGAGCTAGTGCTGCATCACGCGAAATGATTGCCAAGCTAGAAATGCCAGCAATTTTACCAGCCATACGAACTGCTTGTTTCTCCTCGTCACCCCATACCGACGGTACAGCCAAAGTCATATGAAATGGCTCGTTTTCTAATCGTTTCTTCATCTGCGTCGCTAGATCAGCGAATAGCATACCAGTCAGTTGTTCCAATGTGAAACTTGTCTTCTTTCCATTCGAGCCATAGTCCACGATTACCACCACGCGACCCGTCTCGTCTACTTCAAAAACGGGTTGAGGACCAGGTAGGCGCTCAAGCTGGCGTTGAACGTCCGCTAGTTTCTTGCCGACAAGTCCCGATAGAAATCCAACTGTATTGCTCGGATTTGTACTGGTTGAAAGTACAGCTGACTCGCCTAGCAGACGTTCTTCCCCTTTAAACGAAACTAGAGTAGCTGTTGTCATGCCACCGAGTTGATTAAGCACCACGTCACCATTGCTTTCAGCTACAACGCATCGTTGCGCACCCTGTTAAAGAAAATTTCAATTAATAAATCGCAACACTTTGTCATTTCGATGCTATTGCAAGGTAGAAGAACGCAACATACAAAGTCGACGCCGAAAACGCGTAGATTCGCCATTTTGAAAATCACGAGATGAAAGTCTCGAAATCTCTATTTCAGGTAAGCCACATTAATAAACTGTGCTATGAGTTTGGATGAGCGATTGATATTGGTGCTACAGTCTTTTAGTAGAGGTGGTGCTTCAAAGGAAGAGCAGGAGTATACAGCAGAGCTGTTGATTGCTGCTACAGAGGAGGTGGATCAGAATCGAGAGTGTCTTGTCGAGACAATTATTGAGGTGTTAAAGGAGACGGACTTTGTAGACACAAGTCAATTACAGCCGATTGCAGAGCAAGTTGCTAGTGTTGTGCTTGGTAGTGAAGACGACGATAATGAACAAAAGCACGAGGAGTTTATTCGGAGTATACGCAAAGAACGTTTAGAATCGCAACTTGCTATTGGCAAGAGTTGTCTTGTCGTGCTTGAAGAGGATGAAGCTTGGCACCCAGCAAGAATTACTAGTCATATTGACGAAAATGATGAGGATCTTGTCGGCAACGACCGTCCGATAAAATTGGAAATAGAGTTTATTGAGTTCGGCAAGAAACAGATTGTTCGAGAGGATGAAATTGTGTTGGATGAAGACGTTGCTGATAGTGAAGATTCTGGAAATTCCAAAGGTTTATGTGAAATGTGTGAGCGACCAACGAAACTGACAGCACACCACGTCATACCGCGAGTTACTCATGCGAAATATCTCCGTAAAGGGTATACAAAAGAATTTTTAAATTTCTGTATCATGATTTGTCGTCAATGTCACAGCAAAATCCACGCAGTTGAGGACAACAAGACACTAGCACGTGAGTACAATACGCTTGAAAAAATTATGCAACACCCAGAAATCATCGCCTGGGTCGCGTATGCTAGAAAACAAAAAGCACGAGTTATCCCAAGGAAGAAAAGTAAGTGGCCTGTAGGTAAGTGAAATCTTAGAGTTGGGTAGATTATATATATGTATATGCTAGGAATCAGAAAAACGGGATTCCTTTAGGCGTATCTAATATTAATGGATTGATCATTGCGTCAAGAACTACATCAGCAAAAGCTGAATTCTATAAATTCCCGCTCATTTATCCGTGGTGTTTCAAATGCACACAATGACTTATGACAGAACAATTCGAATGGCAATTTTAACGGAAAGATTACGTTTCACCGTTGAAACCACAAGGCATACAAAATTTCTTACTATCTCAGCGGGTGTTGTTTGTAATAATTCTGTCGGATCGTCACCTTTCTCGTCAAACGGTCGGTCTAACCTCCTTTCAAACAAAGTAAATGCTGTTCCACACCAATGCTTTAAAAAATGTGACCTCTACTCCTTTCTAAAATACTTTGTATCGATTCTTTGCCTCTCCCGATCTATATCGGATACTTTTTATGAAATCATCTGAAAAAAAACTTTTGTGACTGTAGATATCGTCGGTATGTCTTCTTTACTAGCATCTGATCTGCGTACTGTCAAGTTCTTCTTTTCATCTTCATTATAAAACTTTTTAATATAGTTGTCAAAATTCTCCTCATTTTTTTGAGTAGCTCGTCTAACAGTTTCTTGTCAGTGGGAGATTTTGAGGCGGACTCTCAATTCCTTTTCGCTCCAGAAATTGTACTGATTCTTCCATGACTTTATCAGCCATTTCTTGACGTCTTTGGTTTAGACTTCCACGTTTTTAGCTTGCGAAAACTAACCATAACTTTCTACTTTTAAACAACACAATTGAATTTACTAAAGAAAATTTCAATTGAGACTTCTGTTGTTTCATATCAATGTATGTCCCAAAGACCCCAGCTTTATTTCTAGTTTCTACATTTTCTTGATTAAAAATTCACGGCAGCAGAAGTAGTGAAGAGCATATTAGCAACCTTCTAGTTCGCTTTAGTCTTATTTTTCGTGTTTTCGTTTGGCATAGCGCTGACAATTTCGCCGCAGACTTTCATTGCAAACTGCGCAATCAGATCAAGTTTTGCTTAGCTTTGTTTATTTCGATTATAGAATCTAACTGATCATAATGTTCCAACGTTATTGATACCAGAACTTGTGCATATGAACTGCACACAGAAATCGACACCTACCATGTATTTATACGATCAGCAGAGTGTTCACTGGCCGATGTGGATCCGTTTCCAACACCGACTTGATGAGCTGATATCTGTTAATCCTCAGTCATCAGAAACCAAATTGTTGCTAGTAGTTCTAAAATTTACCCTAGCTCTTTGATGATCTATCGATTACCGAATTTATAATATTTCTTTTTTTTTTTGAATTACTATCAAGATTTTATCTTTCATCAGAGCATATTTCGAGAACTGATAGCAAAGTTTTGGCTATCAGTTCTTGAAATATGTTTTGATGCTGTCGGTTTTAATGACTCGGCGATTCTACGCTATTCATCATAGGTTTCTGTCTTCCTGATCTAAAGGTAGAACCTTCAAACTGAGAGTATAGGTCATACTTTGCTATTCGCGTAATTATTAGAACTGCAGGAGTACCCTAGCATAACGTACTCTATAGGCAAATCAAAGGATTAGTTCAGTCGATAAACCCTAATAGGGAGTATTAACATCATTATACTGTACCTAATACGAAATCATAGCACTTCACCGTGGTACTTTACGCATCCTACGGACAACAGTGTAACGTGTACATAGCCCACCACCGCTTCCCAAACTATGACAAGCAACTATCAGATCAAGTTTTGACTCATATAGCTTCAGAACTGTGCGTTTCAGAGCAGAACTTTCAAGAAACTTATTTTTTAGAAAACTGGAGACTACAAAAAACCTTCAAGTTCTTACTTTAAAAATTATAATTTTTTTCATGTCGACACAGACGAGCCAATTAGCATTGCGTCTGAAATCGACATAATTTCTCAATCCGCATTCAACACGTCACGATGCTACGGACTTTGTCCCACACTTTCTGCGTTCATCATGGCGTACATTATGTAATCTAATCACTCTTAGACGCTTACAAGTTCGTATATACTTTCTAATACATAAATTACTTTTTGTTATAATGCAGGCAAACTCAACCTCTAGGACGATGCTTATGTCTTCGCTCTTGCAAAATCGAATGCGGATATTAAGCACATTACGTGAAGACGATAAAACGTCGATATTACTGCAAGTAAAAGATGGTCCAGGTGCATTACAGGAGACGCTTAAGTTTTTCTGGAAACACGACGTCAACATGACGCGGATCGAGTCTCGTCCTTCTAAGGGCCAAAATATGGATTACAACTTTTATATTGATTTTGAGGGCAAAAGTGGTCAGGCTCATGTTGACGAGCTGATTACCGACCTTCAAGGAAACTGTTTGGACGTCATGGTATTGAATGATAAACAAGGTCATTTAATTGCCATGATCTCGCTGGATTGAATCTTTTTACTGATTGTAGTTTGATTAGTTCCATGGTTTCCTCGCAAATTGCACGAGTTAGACCGTTCGGTTGCCAATATATTGGACGCTGGAACTGATTTGGAGTCCGACCATCCAGGATTTAGCGTACGTGGCTACAATGTACAAAAACGAAAGGATGAAATGACGTTCTGGATTGTATCTGTGCAGGACAAAGAGTATCGGAAGCGTCGCAATATGTTTGCAGAAATTGCTCAAAAATATCACCAAGGGGACCCAATTCCTCGTCTGGAGTACACGCAAGATGAGGTGCATATTATGGGATTAGCTGAAGAATGGTCATACTGAAGTTTGAGCTCGTGTGTCTGCATTAGATCAATACGTGGGGTGTCATATACAATCGAATGAAAAAATTGTGGAAGCGACACGCGTGCGATGAATTTAATTACATCATTCCGCTGCTTGAAAGCAATTGCGGATACGCCGAGAATAATATTCCGCAGCAAGAGAATATTTCGAATTTTCTCAAAGAGTGCACGGGCTTTACTTTGCGTCCTGTTGGTGGTTTGTTATCGTCGCGCGATTTTCTGAATGGTCTCGCATTTCGTGTATTCTTTTCGACTCAGGTGCGATATACCCTGGATTACGTTATAACTTTTTGTCGTAAGAAAGTTGACGATTAATCGATACTTTGTAGTACATTCGTCACCATTCGATGCCGCTGTATACGCCAGAGCCCGACATTTGCCATGAACTTATGGGTCACGCCCCAATGTTTGCTGTACGTTTACAATCCACTGTGCTCATTCTTAATTAACAGAAACTAATCGTATCAACAGGATCCCGACTTTGCAGATTTTTCGCATGAAATTGGCCTCGCCTCTCTTGGAGCATCGGACGAAGAAATCCTGCGTCTTGCTACGGTAAGGTCTATTTGCAATTCGAATTCTATAACTAACTTGCAATTATTTACATCTGGACAGTGCTATTGGTTTTCCGTAGAATTTGGTATCATAAAGCAGCGTGGTGAATACAAAGTGCGTAACCAACTTCAAAGTGAGGTATACTTTGAAAAATTTATAAGTATTAAATTGTCTCCTGCAGGCCTATGGTGCTGGCCTACTTTCAAGCTTCGGGGAGTTGGAATACGCTTGTGCTACTGATCGGACTGCAGGCAGTGAGTTGCCTGAATACCGTCCTTGGGACCCTTTCTTGGCCTACAAGCAAAAGTATCCGATCACAACCTATCAGCCTGTCTACTATGTTGCTAACAGTCTGGTAAGGATAAAGCAAGCCAATATTCTTTTGTAAGACTGACCGACGTATCCATGGGATGTGTGGACAAAATTAGTGTGAAGCGAAGGAAAAGATGCGTGTTTTCTGTGAAGACTTGAAAAAACCGTTTCAAGCTCGTTACGATCCCTACTCTCAGACAGTTTTGATTGACCGTGCGGTCCAACGCCAGGAATTGCAGCCTTTGTAGAGTTTGGACGCTTTTTTTGCTAGTGACATTTGTAATTTTTAATGAGTTGCCGCTAAAAACAAGTTTAGAAGGCTATATTTGAGGTTGGGGTATATGCTGTGAGGACGAGGACTGAGACTTTATTCATCTTGTCTAGCAGTTGTTTTGAAATTCTGGTCACAGAGCACAATGTTCTCGTCTCTAGTTCTAGGAGACGAATGTGGCTCTGATGCAAGGAAATTTCAGTCGACTACAGAACAATGGATGCGTGAAGTGAGTTGTTCACAAAAACATAAGGTTATTGCATCATTATTCATTCGTGAATTGAATGGTTAGGCTCTTGATAGCCGGGTGATCATTCAAGAATTAAAAACGCAGAATGAAAAACTCCAACGAGAGGCGTTCAGACTGGTGCGAGTTTTGTCGATAATTGTGTGATGTTGAGATGCTGAAGTGTTGATTTATTGTAGAACTTTAAAATGAACATGATGTATGAGAGTTGTGCAGACCTTAAAGTTCTGGATCGCCTTGGAGACTTGATGCAACGCAAGATGCAGGAATATCAATCAAGTCAAGTAGCGCGCAATGAATTTGCTTCAATGAATGCACTTAATGCGTTAAATTATCCTGCGAAGAAAAGCGGCTTGGATGATGAAGGTTTAGTATCCAGCCCAAGCAAATTTCAGGATGGTGGAGCTCTTCCAGGCAGCTACAAAGGCCAGGTGAGTTAACATGCGTCGTATGTGAAAAAATCTCTCCGTGACTGACTTTCATTTTAGACACCTCGAGAAAATTTCCATCGAGTTCGAGTTTTTGAAGCTGAGGAAGCGAAATTACGAGACCAGCTTGACATTTTTGGGATTCCAAAGTTGCAGCAGCAGAAGGCTGGAAACTACTGTCCAACTCAACAAAGGTAGTTCTATGTATTGCTATGCAGCGTCCACAGTATCTAAACATCTTTGCAATACAGACTCGGGGACACAATTGACAAGCTACTAGTATCTGCAGAAGAGGCAAATTCACCTATGAAAAGTGCGAGGCAAGAAACGCAACGTACGTATGGACGCGCGTCTATGGGCCATAGCACAGGAATTGTTGGGTCGAGTAGAGTCCAAAGTTAATCCAATGGATAGCTTTTACAACAAAGTACATTGCTTACCCGACATTACTCACTTGTTTTATTACCTCAACACAACCTTTTACAGACATCAAATCATTCAGCTTCTTGAGCCATCTGCAATGCTGCATCAACTACATCCTGATTCGAGGCATATTTTCCAAACCTTTTCTCGTCCAAGACTTGCTCATTTAAAAAAGAAGTGGACGTCAACTCTTTTCGTGTCTTGTCTACTAAAAGAACGCTGTCGCTATTGGAGTTGCCGGCGTCCACAAATTGCGTCTTGTGGAGAATATAAGCAGAGAGCACAGCTTGAAAAAACGGTGTTGCAAGTAACTTGTCCAATAAAAAATGATCGCCCTTATTCTCAGCTAAAAGAATTTGAAATCGAAGATGTCCTGGCGCTAGCGTCTCGTAAATGTTCCGCCAGGATTCATCCCGCAGCATCTTCGGCGCGTAAATAACACGACGTGCAATGTCAGGATCTTTGATTCTCTTTGCAAATGACAACGGGAATGAACGCGGCGCGTTTATAAAGATCTTGTGATGTACATTTAGCGAGTATTCATCATTTTCGAATAGAGTCGAAGTTGGAGAGTTTGCAGTCTTGCACGCATTTTGCAAAACAGGAGTAGGGAGGTCTGTACACATGTAGCGCGCGACAATCTCATGGATACTTCGTGCCAGTACAGCCCGCGTGTCTTTCAGTCGCTGGTATTCTTTGTTATCCATAACGTAAAATTGAAGATTCTTCCAGTAATGGGTCATATATTGCACATCACCTGTTGCAGTATCGATAAGAAGTACACTTGTCACAAGCAATACAATGATCCATCCAAGCACATTAGACGACACTGCACGGATAAGTACTCCAAGTATTAGACAGCCCAAAGCAGTCTTGAGAGCTGCAGCTCCTAATGGCAACGATCGGTTGTAAGCTTTGCGTGGTGGAAAGCGATAGATGAGATCACGAGCACTTGCCAGAAACAAAAGACCTGGTACTTTGAAAATAAAACGAAGTATAGAAGCTAATAGCCACACAACGTGTAGCGGATTCTTTGACAAATCTTTTACACCCAGCAGTGTACTTGTGGAATTAATGTCCTCATCTCGCAGTTTCCAATACTTTAATAATGCACAATAAGTCATCATCTTGCGTTTTAATTTGTGCATTGCAGGATGATTTGAAGTGCGAAAATGAATCTGCAAATTCTCTTCGTTCATTGACGCACGTTGTCGTCGAGAGAAACAGTCGTCATGTATATTCTTAGCACAACAAACATGTAATGTACGCGTTAAACGCAACATTTCAATCTGAGCAACAGTCAATGGCGGTAACATTGTTAGCGACGCACGCAAACGAGCACTGAAGTGTTGAGTGAATTCAGTTGGATCCTCTGTAAAAATTGTGACATCTCGATCCTCAAGCAATACCGGTGCACCATAACGAATACCAGCGTATCGACGCACGTCTAAAAAACTTGCAGCCGAGCAATAGTGCACAGCCACAGGCACCACAAGAGCGCGACGATAAGAAGCAGATCGTAAAGCAGTGGCGATCTGAAACACGACACGATTAAGTGGCGCCTTATTTGGGCTCTTCGACATGGGAGTAAAGTCCACAAAAACGCCCATTTTGTAGTCGATTTCGTCCATACTGACACTTTCAAGGTTCATTTCATCAATAAGATTAGCGCGTCTCTCCATTTCCATTAGAACTCTAGCCAATACTTTATTCATATCGGTAGTATCTGGAATTGTACCAACTAATGGCGTAACGTAGTCTTCAATCAGTGTTTTTTCAACAAATGATGGCACGCGACGACGCCATGCGAGTGACCGATCGATAAGGTATATAACAGGCATAAACTCGTGCTTTTCATCTTCGCGAGAAATGACTTTAAATTCCATAACATGTGGAAAAATAGCATGAAGTAATGAAGAGCGTAAGCTGCGATTGCGACGCTGTGGTAATGCGCGCTTGGCTCGTAATGGCCACATAGCTTTGCAAAAAATGAAAGTGTTGATATGAGAAAGATGGCGAAAAGAGCACATGATTCTGTCGGCTATCTGACATATTGAAGCCTGCCGAATATGATTCCGATTGATCTGATTTTCCTGATCAAGATGACTGCAGTATTACGTACCCTGTTAAAATGATAAGCTATAGCTCGACAGCTTAATAGTGACACTCCGTGCATCGACAAGGAAACAAGTGGGACCCCTTGACACGCAGAAACGCTTGAAGTCAAACTGCATGTCTCAATATTGTAAAATCAGTACTATCTTAAATATCAGTAGTGATAGTACTAATATATAATAGTAATTTACAGAGAAATGAGATAAATATAGTACTTTCTTATCACGTGTGTGTTACATGAGATCCAATCGCATAACCTATTTCAGTAGGTTACTCTATCTGTTTGAATTTCCATTCACTTCGCTACTTATCATGTCTAAACGCGGTGTGTTTCTCCTTTTCGAGGGCGTGGATCGCTGTGGTAAAACGACGCAGACCAAGATGCTTCATGATGCGTTAAATGCCACCTCATCTTCTCCATGTGCTACTTTATTACACTTTCCAGATCGTAGCACAGCCATAGGCAAAAGTATCCACTCATACTTGACAAGTTCAGAAGCCATGGATGACCATGTCATTCATCTTCTCTTTTCAGCCAATCGATGGGAAGCAGCTCGTAAAATTGAAGCTCTTCTTGCTAGCGGTCGACATCTTATCGTAGATCGCTATTCATTCAGTGGAGTAGCATTCTCTGCTGCCAAGAGCGGGATGTCTCTTGATTGGTGCTGGGGACCGGAGATTGGTCTTCCTCAACCAGATGCCGTTATCTTTTTGGATGTACCAGTTACTCAAGCAGCTAAACGTACTGACTTTGGTCAAGAACGATACGAGACTCTCTCTTTTCAAGAACAAGTGTACTCTCAGTTTCAAGAACTTATGAAACGTGTAACCCCAAAGTGGCATATTGTCGATGGAACGGGTACAATTGCTCAAGTGCATGATCAAGTCATGAACATAGCACTTGAAACCATTGAAAAGAATACTCACTTACCAATTGTATATTTTGATAAATTGTAGAAAACACATTGAAAACTAAGTTTCGCAATATTATTATAAACAATTTGATGTTTCCAATTGTGTAACTTTTCGATGAACTCCAAGTGGGACATTTGAAGTTGAACAAGTAATACTTGGTGGTTGATGAAGAAATTTATGCATTAAAGCAAAGTCAACACGTGAATTCATTCCTTCAAGAAAGCGAGAAGTTCTTCGATTGCCAGGATTTCCTTGAGTGACTGGACGACGTTGAAATTGAGCAATTGTTGTGGCTCGAGTTGGCGAGTTTGGACTTTCAAAACTTCGACTTGAGACACAATTTGTAAGAATTGATTCCATCCTTTTTGTATCTCGAGCACGAGTTCCTAACAATGCTAAACGACCAAGTCGAATTTTTCCAATTTTCATATGTTTGGAATCTGTTGAGATTGAAGAATTGAAATCATTTCGAGAAACACGAATATTTTGTTGAAAACGTTCACCTTCTATTAACATTTGAGATTCCAATTGATAAAGAAAATGAAGATATTCGTTCGAAAGTTGACGCGAAAGACAGAAATGAAGCCAAGAGTGTGCTTCTTTAGCTGTAAATGTCGAATGTTTCATCAAAAAACATCCAAGGCATGTAGCAGTAACGATATTTCCAAAGTCTTTAGAACTATCGATAGCAATCAAACCTTGTGAATTCTCAAAAATTTCAAGAAATTTCATTACACTTTCAATTACTGATGATATTGAAATGTTGATTGTTTCAACTCCAAATTGAACACTTTTACTTGAATCACTAGCACGTTTGTTGAAAGTAAGGAGAAGACTTACATGATATTGCTTTAGACTCGAAAATAATGGCTCACATTGAACACTCGATTGCAATTCTTCTGTTTGAAACATCCTTTCCTCGTTTTCTAATCCACGAAAGACAAGAAATCGATTCGATATAAATCGAAAGTCAAATGGATTACTAGTCTGTTTGAATGAAAACGATTGATCGAAAAGGTTCATTTCAAAACCTTTTGCAATTCCTTGTAACGATTCCAATAAATCAGGTACTCCATATACATTCGACGAAAGTGTTGAAAATCGAGATGAAAGATGTTCAAATGGAGCCAAAGCTTCGTGTGGAGAAACGTGAAGATACATGAGTCGCCATCGGCAAATGAAATGTATTGCTTGAATCTCTTGCCAAAGATATCGTCTTAAGAGATAGAAATATTGCACATTTGATGCTTTCTTTTCAGTCTTTTGTTCGTGATTAACATCATCTGTCATTTGATTTAAATGTGTCGTTAAAAAAGAATTGAAAGCAATCATGTGGTCTATTCCAAGATCCATTTCCTGACTTGGAAGTTGTTGATTCAGTGATATAAACTGAATGCCTGGTATTGTTGGAAAATAACGTCGTTTAAACGATCGTTCGATGTTTGAGAAATCGTCTTCGCTTGTCTTTGAACGATAAATTGAGCAAGTTGGTTGGTCTCGAATAAGTAGCAAATAAAAACGTCGTGGATAGAACTCAATAGGAGCAGGTGGAAGACCAGATCGACGCTTCATTTGGCTCGATAGATTGAGAGATCGATGAATCATGAAAACATTATTACTCTAAAGCTGGAAAAGCTAAAAATACGAATGTACCTGATCGAAAGTAGAAACAGTTTACGACTTATGTTTTCATTCGAATAATGTCGAGCATTGGTCTCTTGCATTCAGAGAAACATGGAAGAAAGTCGAAGAAATACATTTTTCAGAGCTATGAGAAGGAGATTAGTGATAGAATTGTTAACATTCCTTTACGAAAGAAGGCAAAGAAAAGAGATGGTCTTGAAAAGGGATCTAGATCAATGTATTCCAAGCTTACTTCGCAGTATGAAGAAGCTTTACGAAGACAAGATTTACAACAGGTCTTATGGATGATTACAAATGGTGACATATCTCCTGATTACGAGACAAAGGATGGAGATACAGCACTTTTAGCTGCTATTGCGACAAGAGATCGAGATACGTTTGCAATTCTAATGACTAGGTAGGTCAAAATTCAAATTCTTGTATCAAATCTTATCAAATTCTGAATGCTTGACAGTGGCATTTCAATTAATTCGTCAAATCGAAAAGGATATACCCCGTTAATGAAAGCTATTGCTTTAGCTGTATTACGACATCCATCTAAATTTCAGTTAAAGAATCAATCATTGATATCAAACAATAAATTTGAAAAGAAGCAAAGTCTCAATTGTAAGCAATTTGACAACGAGATGATTGCGATGGTGTTGGCTTTTAAACCAAATTTACATCAAATGGATCAATCAGGTAAAACTGCCTTCGATTGGGCGCGACTTACAGGAAATACACAAGTTCTTGAATGGTTATCTCAATGTCAAATTGAACAACCTTTGACAGATCAAAGTAAGGAACGAATGACACAATGTCAAAAGATTCTCACGTATCATAACGAGTATCTACAACGTATGGAAGAGCTCATTGCTCCTCAATTTTTTAATGAAAAGGACTTGATAGAGTTTTTAAAGTCCATGACAATAACATTGTCAGAATTTGAAAAAGCTCGTTCCGATTTCAAGATACTTGACAAGTCTCAATTACCAATGCACAATTTTCTTCAGATTGAAACACAACAAGGTTGGACACCATTAACGAGATGTGCAGCATTAAATTATAATGATGGTGTTCAGGAATTACTGAAATTAGGTGTTGAACTCCATTACGAGACAAAACTTCGACATACTGCAATGACATGGGCTAGTTATTGTGGACACGAAGCTGTCGTTTTAACTCTTCTTCAAGCTGGTGTAGATGTGAATCAACGAACACGCGAAGGTAAAACGGCTTTGATGCATGCAATTAGTAATTCCCAAGCTCAGATTGTGCACCATTTACTTCTTGCAATACGAGATGAATGTTTTCCAAAGCGATTATTCCAAACATCAATTGAAATGAAGACAATAAAACATGAAGAAGACAATAATGAAACGATAAATGGCTTGCAATCTATTGAACTCGAATGGTATACATTGTTTCTAGAGAAGATGCAGTGGCAGGATTCTATGGGTAAAGATGTTTTGATGTTAGCCAAAGATGCTGTTGAGCAAGCACAGAAAGATAATTATGATATTCTTGACAATAAAAAGAAAATTGACGCTGCGACTCAAGTATTGAAGCAAGTTAAACAAGCTATTGAAGAAGCTCAAGCGTATCAAGTGTATAGTGCAAAACTCGTCGATCGTACCGAAGTTACAACATGTTCGAATGAAAATTGTCAGTTTATTGCTACGAAAGATATGATGCTAGCACACGAGCAATATTATTGTTCAAATGGAATGGTAAAATGTCGTTATTGTGACTTGAATGTTTTGATGGATGATAAATCTCGTCATGAAGTTGAATCGTGTTCAATGCGTCGTGTATCATGCATAAATTTACAATATGGATGTCAAGAAAACGTTGTGTATCAAGATCGAGAACATCATGTGAAATATTATTGTCAGAAACGATTGGTCAAGTGTCGTCTTGATTGTGGTTTTCTTGGACATTTTGACACATTGCACAAACATGAAAGTTTGTCATGTCCTTTACGAATTGTCACTTGTGCTCAAGGATGTGGTGCGACCTTTCCATCAAATCAAAGCAAACATCATGAACGAGATGAATGTTCACAACGAATTATTGCATGTATTGGGGAAAAGCAATATATTGGATGTGGGGAATTGATAAAAGTCGACGAGATGAAAGCTCACCTTACGACATTGTGTCAATATCGAAAAATTGCATGTAAATGGGCTTTATATGGTTGTAATAAAGAGATTGGTGGGATTGTTCAAGCTCGAGAATATCACGAAACAATTGAGTGTCCATATCGTTTAGTATCTTGTCGTCATAATTGTGAATTAAGCGGTCAATTCGTCGCATGTTTTGCTGATGAACACTATCGTTGGCAATGTCAACTCGAACCAATAATTTGTTCGAACAATTGTCGCAATGAAGTGACGAATGAAGTTTTACAAGTACCTCGATATTTACAAAGACTTCACTTTAATTGTTCTTTGAGACAATTCCATTGTCCATTAGATCTTTGTGGAAAGTCTATTCGAATCTACAATACAGAGAGAAACAATGTGAATCATGATGAGAAGAATTATTGGTCCAATAACATGACAATATCTCGACAAGTTATGCAGCATCGTATTGCTGCATATGATGCATTTTTCACTACTTTTCAAACATCACAATCTCATACAAACGAACGAATGTTTTCTTCTCTTCAAATTTGGCTTCAAAGTCTTTATCATAAACTAAACGAAGATTCGAAACATCATCAACTTCAAATGGAAAAACGAGCACAAATGTGTCGTGTCTTGGCCTTTGATTTCACAACTTTTACATATCAAGTTGAATATTCCGACAATTCACTTGGTTCATTATTTCTTCAATACTGTGATTATGATCTTGTTAGTAATCAAGACGAGACTTCCGTTCTTTGTTGTGGATTATTAACAATGGAATCTTTGAATATGCACATTCAAACGTCATGTTGTCATCGTTTGATTCCTTGTCCATTAAACTGTGGAGAGCAAATTTCAATCAAAGATACTGATGTACATGTAAGTCAAGAATGTACGAATCGTAATGTGAAGTGTGGATTAGGATGTGGAGAAATCATGGCATTTGCGTTACTTTCAACACATGAAAACGATTCTTGTGATCTTCGATTGAGAAATTGTGAATATTGTCAAAGTTTGGTATCTTGTTTGAAAACTCACTTTGATAAAGCATGTCAACATAGACCACGAGGTTGTCGACTTGGTTGTTCAGATCAAGTGACGTGGGCAGAGCAAGAGAAACATGAAATGAATCGATGTTCAAAGTATTTGATATCATGTTTACTTTGTAAGAAATTTATTTGGAGATCTGAGCTTAAAGTTCACGACGAAATGGAATGTTCATTTCGATATGATGGTTCTTGTGATAATAATTGTGGTGAAATATTACGACAGAATGAAAGGAAGTCTCATCTTCTTAACGTTTGTATCAATCGATTAGTTGAGTGTTCACAATGCAGCGAACAAATCAAATTTTCATCTTTATCTTATCATCAAAATTCTCTTTGTTCTCAACGAAAAGTTTATTGTCAACAAGGATGTGGAGATCAATTTAAAGCAAATGAAATGGAAAATCATGAGAAAGAATTTTGTTCTAAGCGTCTTCAAAAGTGTTTCAACAAATGTGGAATGAAACTTTCCATGGATGAAATGAACAAACATCTTCATTCAAGTTGTGCACTACGACTTTTATCATGTCCAACTGGATGTCGAGAAGTTATCGTTGCATATTTACAACACGATCATTGGAAACATTGTCGTCATCGTCTTGTTCCTTGTGGTGTTGGTGGAAAATTGTGTCTTCGTCCTCTTGGTCTTTGGCATCAAAAGAATCAACTTGTTCAATGTGCCATTCATTCTGAAACTGCGCTTTTCTGGGCTATTCACTCCCAAGATTTGGATTTGACGAGCTATTTCTTACATAATATCGATGCGAGAACTGTAGTGAATGAAGAATTTACAATAGGATCATCACCTCTTGGACTTGCAGCGTCAATCGGAAATATAGAATTGATTTATCTTTTGCTTCGATTTGGAGCAAATGTGAATTTTGAAACATCACGTGGTCGAACACCATTAGCTGAAGCTTGTGTAGCACAGAATATCGAAGTTGTTAAAGTTTTAATTGAAAATCGAGCAAGTGTGACGTATACGAATCGATACGGTCGAAATCTCAAGCAATTGATTCATGATTTTGCTCAATTGGATTCGATTGTTGTAGATTCAAAAGCTCAAGAATTGAAATGGAAAGAGATTCTTCATTTACTAGACGAACAGGAAGAATTGGAACAAGCGCAACGAAATCTTTTTCTTGCGATTGGATGTTCAAATTATGAATATTTGATCAATTTATTAACCTCCTCTTCCAAGACATCAAATCATGAGCTTTTGTTAGCAAGTTCAATGGAAAATCTTGTTGAGATTGTTACTATGAAAGAAAAGATGGTTGCATCTACTTGTAGTGAATATAATGAAGCTATTACAGATTCAAATAACTTTAACAATACATTGGAAAGTATTCGTAGTCGAGTTATTGAAGATACCAATCAAGTAAATGATTATTGTCGTCAATTACAAGAAGTGAAGATAGCAGAAGAACTGTCGGAATGTTTTTCAAATACATTGGAAACAAATATGCTTGCAATGCTTCGTCAGATTTCAGCGCAAGAGATTGCAATGATCGTCAATTCGAAGATTTCATCCGAAATCTCATTCATCATATTGAAAACTGTCTTGATATTATGTGGTTTTGGTCACAATATCAACTACACGAGTTCTCAATGGTGGGAACTTGCCCAAGCACTAGTGATGGATCGTAAATTATTGCGTCAATTGCGTCAATATCGTCAACAAATCATTTCTTCAAACGCTAAAACTCAAATTCAAGTTGAATGTTTTTCAAAACTTCCTTCATATACTCGAATGAAAGAAAAGATTCAAACGTTTGGTTTTGACTTTGATACAAGACAGAAAATTGAGATCCAAGACGTTGAGAATAAAAGTATTGCAATATTAGCAATGTGGATTATTGGTGTTGAGATGGAATGGCAAGCGAAAGAAAAGCGTCAACTTCTTTTCGAAGAAAAGGAAAAACTCGAGAATGCACTTCTTGTCGTCCGTGCAAAGCAAGAAAATTCCACATTGGAGGCTCAAAATGCGACACAATCGCTTCAAGATCATCAGGATGATCTTGAAAAAGCTCGAATTCGGAAAGAAAACGCAATAAATGAGCTTCATGTAGCTAAAAAGCAAGTGTTTTTATATAAAGTGTTTACGTTTGTGGCTTTAAATGGTCACACTCCATTCACTTTTGCTTGTGCAGTAGGAAACGAAGCAATTGTTCATCTCTTGATCTCATATGGTGTTTCAAGTGGATTCCAACTTCCAGAACGAATTCTTTGTGCTTCTTTCATTCAAGCATTTGTACGCAATATACAATTTCGAAAGAAAAGTTCTCGACAGCATTTAAATGAACGATTTTATCAAAGAAAGACACATCAGAGTGTGATTGATACTTGGAAACATAAGATTCTTTGTTATCGTCAAAGTCATCGTGTTGCAATACATGAAGCTATTATAAATGGACATTCAAAAATTATTGCAATATTATTGTCGAATGGAGCAAAAGTCTGGCAAAAGTCTTATGTACTTCCTCAACGCAGTTATCCTGGATCTTATCTTGAAAGTATTGCACCGTTATCAAAACGAACATATAAACTGCGTAGTCCATGGATATTGCAACCTTTGGGATCAAAATTTAATGTATTGAAGGCTCAAGAGAATGAAATTGATCTCAATAATTCAATGACTGTGATTCAGACACTTCAGTGTGCACTACAATACTATGACAGTCAATTATTTCTTGGATCGAAAGGATGGGACGCTCATGAAACGGTTTACTCTAGTACAAAAGCAATTGTGACTAAGGAACTTTGTCATGTCGAAAAGTGTCGAGTAGAACGACAGAAAGAGCTTGAAAGTCATAAATTGAAATTATTGAAAGTCGAGGAATTGCAGAAGAAACTTATTGCTCTTGATATTGCAATAATGGATCGAAATTTTCCAATTATTGCTCAATTACTAGATGATGGTGCGTATGCAGATTATGAGACAAAAGATGGTGCGATTACTGCGTTGATGGCTGCATGTATGGAGGAATGTTATGTTAGAAATGCTGATAGAAACGATGTATTAGCAGTGGAATTTCTACTAAATCGGACTACTAATTGTCCACGTATAAATTTTGAGAACTCGCGTGGATGTACCGCATTAGAAATAGCAGTATCTTATGGGACATTAAAATGTGCTCAAGTGTTACTATCGCGAGGTGGAGATATTAATTATGTCACGCAATTAAATGGACGCACAGCATTATGGTAGCTGCAGAAAGTGGCAATGAGGCGTGCGTACACTTTTTAGTAGCAAATGAACATGTCGATCCTTTTTTGCAAGATTTGCATGGAAAAAGAGCATTAGACTATGCACGCACAAAAGGGTTTGTAAAAATTATGGGTCTTTTAGAAGCAGCAATGGGTAATCGACAAACTCGTGTCGTGAGTACAATTTCGGGGTTATATGGTGTATGTAAATGGGGATGTGGTTATATGACTCCATTTGAAGGACATGTCGTTCAGGAGTCCCAAGTGATACGAACGACAAAGCCCCTTGAAGACCATGAACAACATCATTGTCGTAAACGTCTTGTAACTTGTCCAAATGACTGTCATCTCACTAATTTATGGGCTGAAGAACTGGAAAAGCATTTGTACGATAGTTGCGAGCGTCGTATAGTCACATGTACGAACCAAAAATGCACTGTACGATACTTATTTCAAGATCAGTGGAATCACTTAAATAATGAATGTCAATTTCGTGTGGTTCTATGTGACTGTGGACAAAATATGACTTTTAAACGTCATGTCGTGCATACAAAGACAGAATGTTCAATGCGTCGTGTCTTCTGTCCATTACAATGTGAAGAATCATACGAGAAAGAACGATTTGAATATTTTCAACTTCGATGGAAAGATGTCAAAGTTCATATAGCACAAGAATGTCCACATCGCAATATACGATGTCGAAATGGGTGTACGATTCAAAAGTTAAGAGCAAAAGATCGTACAGTTCATGAAAGTACCGAGTGTTTACTACGTCGTGTCAGTTGTACATGGGGCTGTGGAGAGACTATATTTGCTAAGACTCAAAAGTTGCACGAACAAGAGGAATGTGTACGACGGCGACAAAACTGTCCGTATCGTTGTGGGTGCATTCTTTCTATATTAGAGATGAAAGAGCATATTTTGACGAATTGTAGTCGTCGATTGGTTGAATGTCCGCTACATTGTGACCGTCGAATTTCCCTCCATATATTAGAGAATCACGTAGCAAACGAATGTTGTAAACGTAGTGTTACATGCGTACAGTGTCAACAAGTGGTGATAGAAGAAAATCGTACGACGCATCAAAAGACAGCCTGTCCATATCGTGCAACATCGTGCATATTGTGCGGACAGACAAATTTAGTGTACGCACAAATGGGTCAACATCGAAGTGAGGAATGCAAAATGCGTAGTGTAACATGCAAGTACCAATGTTATGGGAAAGTATTAGTCGCTCATGAAAAGGAATGGCATGAATTGTGGGAGTGCGCTTTGCGACCAATTTATTGTCCTCTTGGGTGTAGCAAAACCTTTCCTTGTAATACATTAAAGAAACATCAACAAGTGTGTACAATGCGCTTTGTCGTGTGTGGAAATGGGTGTGGTGAAGAGCTCCGCGAGAAGGATCGAATCGATCACGAACGGCATTATTGTAGTATGAACAAAGTGTATGGCTCTATGTTGCGCTAGGATGAGGGTCGATATTGGCAATCCTCTGCGAGAGGTGAGGCGATTGAGTCGCAGTGGGTCTTGAGGCTCTATATTTTTGGGCTGTATTTATCTAAATAACGTGGAATTTATTATCCCGTAAGGTTTTTTTATTAAAATTCCCTCCATTGTATCAATAAGCACATTTTTACATAAGTAGGTGTATCAGTACACAGATAGCGTAAGCTCTTTGCTGTCTATTGACAGGGTGATAGATGGAGAGTCAGGATCAATATTATACAATGAGTTGATGACGGATATTTAAGCAGCCAGGGCTCCTGCTTTGGTTTTAAACTAACGTCAGAGTTGACTTTCTCACAAATCAGAGACTCAATTGCTCTTTACACTATAGTGTGCGCAAGTAACGTAGATAACATCTGGCCCGATCTACTTCATAACACTTCGTTGTCTATCTAATGACCAAGTTCGATAAATTTCAAGACCTATATCACACTGCTTTTCCCTACCTTACACGGATCGAGTGGAAAGTTCTCCACTGATTCGCGGTGGCTTTTGGAGAAGCGGTTGTCCCGTCGCTGCTGCGCTCAGCGATGCCCGACCAGCAATGTATAACAACATAACATATTATGGAACGTGAGCTGCCCGATGCAAATCGGCTAGCGCCAACTACATTACGTAGATTCAGAAGCGACAGCGTCGACTAAATACGTCCATATATTTTGGTTCCAGAGATGATTGAACTCCGCTGAATCAATAATTCCAAGAGATCAGCGATTGACATCGCTATATCCTAGAGACAGATCAATCTACATTCACAAAAGCGAGCTTTCTTCTCTTCCAGCCTTCATAGAAAACCTTACCCGAGCGGTTTCTCTGTCCTTCAACAAGGCACAATGTCCGTGCGAGGCTACGTTCAGCAGACACATACCTTGCGACGTGTATTGAATCCAAGCCTATAGACATGGCCTTTTGTGTTAGCGTTCGTGTTCGAGATGCATGAAGGCACGGCGTGCTCATGCCTTACGAGGGTCAATCCGTCCAGCTTTGAAGAGGCGTTCGCCCTGAGCAGCATGAAAACTAATTTGTGGTAGCGTATAACTTTAGAAATTACGTCGATGTCTATAAATTTTGACGCTATTGTAGTGCCAAACAGCCGTTTACGTCATGAATCGCGTCGAGCTGTAGTCGCAGCGGTTCTTCATTAGCAGATTTTCAATGCCGGAAGACCGGTCACCGTGCGACGTCGAGTCTGTAACCACTGACAAGCTCAAATGGTAAGGCTTAGTGAGTGTAGGATACTCTACCCGCTCGAAGGAAAGATCAGTCTCCCCACAGACAGCTCAATCTCTAGCGCTACCGTGATATGTGCATAACTCAAAATCGACGTCACGCCGGGCGACTCGAGACTGATCATCGTCAGCTTTCAAGTCGCTGGTTCCCGGAAACCACTGGCCGCGCCACTGGACTCAGGAGCGGTCAGCAGCTTTCTACGTGTATCATGTTTGTAAATACTCCCAGTTTGCAATGGTCGAGGATAGATTGCTGCAAAGTTAGGTAGTGGGAGTTGCGACTCGTCGCGCGTCGAGAGCTGACATTAACGTATCAGTAAAAAGGATTCCATAGCAATGACGAGCCACTCGTGATTGAAATGGACGACGCGTTCCAATGCATTTTGGATATGCCGTCGATATCGCGTGACCAATTAGAGATTGACTGGTTGTCCGTCGAACGCCAAGGTAGCTAAGACATCAGCAAGGTTTTCCACCATCTCCTAATAGCTCAGAATTACGTTACCGTCATAGACTTGTCGCCTATCACGCGAGTTGTTTGCATATCGATCATGAAACGGATTGTGAGGTGCTATAAACGAGCGAACTGCCCGGAAACACGTGAGTAAAGGTGATATGGCGGCTGAGCTAGAACCCCCGCTGATTAATACTGCGGTCGAGCCAGGGCCTTCGCGATTAGCGAGTGAGGTTTATCACTCTCAAGGTCGCACTCGGAGCGGCAAACGAAGAAACCACAGGACGTCGAATGGAGCCACAGCGAGCGTTTCAGCCCACAGACAGAAATCCACCCGACTTCCAGGTCTCTCTGAGAATAGCTTTTTCCGCGGTCACACGGAAGGCAGAATCCATTAGGCCTGCCTGACTTAGGCCGCTGACTCGACTGAGCTCGGAATGAATGCTCTATGTGATGAGAGCGGTACCTTGCAAGCTAAAGCTTTTCCTTATCAAAGTATCGCCAGATCGCGTCAAATCCCACCAGCGTCAAAAGCGCAAGTGCCAGTGGCTTTTCACAATTGGCTGGAGTTTCTACAAACTACGTACGCTTGCAGCCGAGTTTGGCTCTCACCAGATGAAGCTCCAGCTTGAGTGTCCGGGTACCTATGTTGATACCCATCAACGGTAGGCAATGAGCCCCAGCTACTGGGACTCGTCGATTTCAAAGTGTTCGTCGTTCCGGCGTGGTAGTGTAACACCCGTACATTTTCAGCTGAAAGCGATAAAGACACGCAGGGCGCGGACAATTGGATCATGAAAAGTTCAACTACGGTTAGCGTTCATTTATGCAATCCGGCAGCTTCAAAGTTTGCACGATATCAAGGACCGTTGACCTGCGCTAGAGCCATAGCAACGCGTTCGTGCTTGAGGTTATCAAATCCTTCACGTCGCCGTTCATCACTTACTGTCACATATGTGACCACTGCAAATACACAGTCTACCTATTAGCAAATGACCGCACTTATTCCTCATCATGACTGAGGTTTATCGCTTGTGGAACTCACGCAGAGCTTCTACCTTCAAGAGCTCAACCAAGCTTCAGGACTAGAAAGTTTTACTTTGCATTTGATGCGACAGACTACGTTTTCTTAAGAGATGTTGCATCTAGGTGCGATACGTACCCCTACGGCGAAGTATCATGAAATTTGTAAGTGTCATAGCCTCCAAAAGATGGTCTGCTGCTATCGTGGTGATAACAGATCTCAATTTTTGAACATAGTCCGCTAATTTTTGCCTCTTAAATCGCGTGACAAGGAACATACATCCGTAAATTTTGCTGTTTTAACATTATTCAAATCGATAATGCCTCTTTTGCATCTACCAATCGTGGACGACCAGTATCCTATCGGAGCATTCCCAGAGGTGTCTCATCAGCGCATTCTCGACCACATTTGGCTCTTATGTCGCCAGTTACCGTATTTCTCCTGAATCAGCATTAGCCACGAGGCTCCGAAAAGTGTCTAGCTGTCTCGGGGATAGATCATCGAACAGCTCGAGTATTTCGATCACAGTATATCAATTGTCAGATTGACAACAAGTGCTATCAAGTTCATCGAAATTGTCGTGTATTTTACTTAGAGCAAAACGTATGCGTCAAACACACAGAAAAGAGGTCTCGCCTCACCTAGGAGCGTGACCAAGAGTCTTAAGAAATTGGATTTCTTGTTTGCACTTTTAATTCAAGTGTGACGTAAATTTGAATTGAGTCGAATCTAGGCCATGCCTCAATATACCAATTTGCTATGCTTACAATAATTACATATATATTGCATGACGTGGGTAACAGCCCATGTGTTCCACAGAAGTTCTTTGATCCTTCCTAACTTTGCACAATTTGTGTAATGTGTACATACTTTTTAAATCCATTAAGTAAAATAGCGTACGAACTAATGCTTGTATAATATTTGAGGAATTGAGTAATGGTAGGGCTAGTGACTACCGAAATTACTATCGATGGGTTGATCAAGAACTGATGTGTAACTTTAGATAAAAGATACCACCTGACGATCATTGACAACATCAATGTTTTCTTGTATGGCATGGCTGGTCACAATTGCAGAAGACAGAGCTTCTCTCGTGTTAGTAGTAACACTAAAGTAAATAATATCGGCGTATGGTAAAACTGCGAAAGATGACTGGCTGTGATAGTGCAGTGTATCATCGACTTCCCAGCCAAGCGTTTAATTACTTATGATATCTGGCCTTACTTAAACCTTTGTGCGCAGGTAACACCTGAAAAATTCAGGCCATCAACTCGACATGGGCATTTCTAGTCTCGAGTGTTGTCTTCATTAGGCACACGATCTCTCATCTTAGCTAACTGGAGCATCACAAGGAGATTTCTTGATCATTGTACTTTTATTAGATGTTTAGTTGAAATACTCACAGAGTTGAACCCCAAAATAGTGACGTCAGAGATGGCTCATGATTTCAGAACCAGGCTTCAATACCATATGTCGTATGTTCTTTACATAATCAGTCTTTATTTATTATAGTAATGTGGGCTCATTAAGGAAATGCTGACAAATCCTTAATTGATATTGTCAAAAGAAGTATAATATACAAGAAGTAGGTTATTAATTATTTTTTCCCACAAGATATGCAAAGTAGCTCATGAATGAGAAATGACTTACTGAATACAATGGGTACGGTGGTAAACGACTTGGGTTGTGTTGGTGGCGAATTGACAGTGTATGGATTAGTAGTCATGAACGTGGTGGATGAGATGCTCTCTTGTACAAGTTTGATCTAGGTTGTCCATACTAAAGAGAGTTACGCGCAGATGAGACACACATGTGGATACACTCTAACATATTTCATACAGCGCATTTTATGAAATTTAGAGGTCTTTAAATCTACTGATTCTTTGATTTAGTAAAACATGGTAACTCCTTAGCTAGCAATAGTTAGTTTTGCTTTAGATATACTGCTTATATTCGGTATCTGTAGCAATACAACACATTCAAACGATCAAACAATTTGCAATCGGGAAAGAAAAGCTGGATAAGCCAAGGACCGGGAAAGCATACAGCACGGAGTGTGAGCGTCCAGAAAACCATTGAGACTTTCTATTGTGAGGCTGTATATTATATATCAAAGGTTTCTTATTATAATGGTGTAAAAATGGTCACATTTTTTTAGGCGATTATATCTATTAAAAAAGTGCACTAATTAAAAGAATACTGTACTTTCTACGACACCTGTAATGCTATAGTAATACAGTGCCCTCCCATATTTCGGACTTACACCCAAACATAAACAGAGAACTTAGTGACACACGACGTAGCACAGAACTGGCGTTTAGGATAGTTCCACAGTTTCAATCCCTTACATACGCCATTGACGGTCCCAATTGTCGCTTTTGTAAGTCTTCACCTTCTACAAGTCTCCAAATAGTCTTCCTCTTCATCTATTGTTCAACATAATGTGCGTGAATTGAACGACTCTGTTGTAATGAAAGGCTTATCATTAATGTACGTATGTTATGATGATACAGGGTGACCTACAAGATGGATGGCAGAACAACGTATTGTTACTATATTTCGCAGAAATATTCAGAAGAGCAGGTTGTGAAAGACAATGTGTTGATATCGAAAGAGGGTAGTGCATGCCCTGTAACGATTCGTGTGGATATTGCTGATAAATTAGAGAAGAATACACTCATTCCACTGCGCTATACTGCCACGCTAGACAGGTCATCAGCTGATCCAGATTTTCGATTTCCGGAACCCATTGTGCGTGTCCCTGTGCCTGATTATTTGATTGCTAGCACGAATCAGACTTCAGGCGAGAACACGTATGATGTGGCTGTAGCCAATGTGGTCATGTGTGATTGGCGCTCGTGTGACATCTTTCCAAAAGTAAGCGAGAGCTCAACGGTCTACTCGTCCCGCGATAATCCAAATAGTTTTACTGATAATGTAGTCGTCTTTGGCTCTGAAGAACTTGTCATTCCGAAGGATGGAAAGTACACGGGATACGTGCATATTGTGGTAAGCGTTGGCGATAATGCCCGTGCCGACTTTGTGACCTTCTTTCCAGTTCAAATTGGAGACGTCGCAGGGACAACGCCGGGTAGTATTAATACAGATGGTACCACGACGTATTGCTGGACGTCCCCTGATGTGTCTGTGTTTGATCCAAGTGTTTCTGGAGACCTTACTATTCGTACGGGTGAATACTGCCCCGGTACAATGTCAATGTCGCTTTCATCCACGGATGTGATGGTTGGAGATACTATTGATATTGCATGGAAATTAGATATGTCAGATTCATCGACTGATGACCCTACTGTTATTGCCGAAGTTTCAACGATTGACGCAATCAGGAATCCTCGAACTGATGTTTATTCGGTTGTACCAGTGTCTGTTTTCTCAGGTTGTCAGCGAAATTTGGCTCGTGCCAACTGCTCAACGTACACAGGTGACGAATCAACGACCTTTTCTATCGCTGAATACGATGACATGAATCTTACAAGTAGAGCCGTCGGCTACTCAACTAGGTACACTTTTGGCAACTCGGGTCAATACACGATGTTTGGCCGTGTTGCCATGGTTACTGTGGACGGTGAGCGACTTGACATGGCTATCTACTCAAGTGTGACAGCTTCTGTGCAGGGTGGTAGTAGTGGGAGCTACCTATTTCTATACGTAGGAATTGGTATTGGTGCGGTGATATTGCTGGCAGGTTTGCTCTTTTGCTACATGAAAAAGCGGAATAATCATGTAAGTACAAAGGAGATTCCGTTTCGACAACCTATGCGCGGCCTACAGAGATCAAGTGACCACACTTTAGCCTCATCAAACTATTTGTCGCACAAGACACCGGCGACTCTGCAGGGTTTGGACTTGAGCGATACTGGAAACACTGGTCCGTCTTACCTTGTAGTCAATGCCGCCGATAGCAGTATCTTCGACAGAACGATCAATGCAGACACAGCTGCACTGGCACAATCCATGGAGAGCGGTGGATCATTCTCACTGAACCCTTACGATCGTGCGAGCTTTACAGATCTAGGTGCCGATGTGGCAGGATCTCGACAATCTGATACCAGTAAATTTTCATTCCAGTCTGGTTATGATGACGAGACAGACTGGGAATTCGATACTCGGCAAATTCAAGGTAATGACAGAGGCAGTAACTTTAGCGACTTCCCCTCGAATCAAGGTACCAGCATGCCTGCCGCTGCAACATTTGATGTGAACCGCGGGACCAATATGCCGATCCTGGAAGAGGATTTTTTAGATGAGCCTCGCAATGTCACGAACAACCAGCAGCCGTCAAACGGCCCGCGCAGCACTACAAGTTCGGGATGGACTATAAACTAAACACTGGGTTTGCTAAGTTCTATCGTGTGTTTTTAACTTATAGCTAGACAAGGAGCTCGGCTATATTGACAAGTCAGTAGGTTTAATCTGTAGACTAAAGCCGTCTGCTCGAGTATCAGTGTGGGCATTAAACTCCAATGGTACACAATCACCGTCTCCTCAACGTTTTTACAGCTTTGCTTTCATATCCACTACATTACTTCAGCTATACAGCGATGTGCGGGTTTTTATTTGATCCGTACTCTTCTCTCTCTGGCAGGCCGACAACCTCGTCGTCTATCTCGCTAATAGTTCCATAAGCGTCCGGTTGGATAGACATCAATACAGCGCGATCAGTGGCAGACATTGATGAAGGCGCCAAATATTGTGACGGACGCTCCTTGGATGAATAAGACGACGAGACCGACTCGTGCCGCGTGCGTCCTCGACTTATAGTGTCAATATCTACCGACAACAGCGAAGACAGTGACGCCATGCGGTCTTGTTCCTTAAAAAAGTCTGCGTGTCCCACTGAATGAAAGTGTGCTTGGAGTATAACTTTTAGCTCGTCTTGAATGCACAAAATGCGAGACTCAAGGTCCACATCGTTAGCATCGGTACCAAAAGGACACTCAATCGACGAAGCTACGAAGTCCAGTGCAAACAAGAGCACTGCAGCAATGCCCACGTATAAGGGTGACATATATCCCATCTTGGGAGCTAGGGCTGCTCCCATTAGTAGCAAGTACCCGACGAAACACACATGCAAACATTGTGCCAAGTTAAATGCAATGGGCACATTACTTAGATTGAAGATCCTTGAGTATATCTGCGTAAGATTTGACACAATCTTGTCAAGTTCCATAGCCTGTTCGACAGTCAAGTAACTTTTTCTTCGCGCACGATTAATTGTCCGCCTCAGCCAAAGTTCGACCACAGCTGCACGCATTTTATTGGCAGAACCAACTACATTGCGTTCTCTATTCCACGTGTGCTCACCCAAGGTCAGCACTTCAGTGCTTGAGAATTCATCGGCTTCTTTTTGTGTCAGCAGCGCCCGTAGCTCTAATGGAGCATCACTTTCATTACAATCGTGAAAGACTAGCGTCACATATAGTAGAATGTACCGCTTGACGTCTCTAATAAATTGGCACTTGTTACGGATCTGCATGCGATCGGCCACTCCCTTTCGCGAAAAGTGCACGAAGGAGCAGGCAGTGGTTGTTAGCGTACGTGCTGCATCGGCAATGGTGCTCACATGTTCAACACCCAGTTGCCATTGACGCAAGGCTGTAAATACTCGTAGTCCTAGTAAAACAGCAAGGAAGACTGATGCGGATAGTAGCAATTGGTCCAGCGCCTGAGTGGGCAACAGCGCCGAGGTTTTGCGTTGCAAAGAAACCAATGCAGTTGATATCGCTGTTACGACTACAGCACGTCCTAATGTGGATGTGGAAGTGATGGCCGAGCCGTTAAAGTGCAGCAATAAACGCCACAGGCAGCGATTACTATAGTAAATCATTTGATGCGGAAAGATTTAGTAATTGAACTGGAATTCATCAGTTTACCGTCGCCAAAAGTTGTACCTACGTTTAAGCGTAGTCATGCTGAAAAGTAGGTTTCCGCATTCTTCAACACCACAATGCGGAGGTGTCAACAGTGCCGATGTTCGCTTGAAAATGAGTTTCTCAGTGCACCAGGTAGAGCAACTGGCTTGCTTGTATTATTATGTATAGTCTTCTAGTGTTGATCTTCATCTTTGGTGCTTTTTTTGCTATTTGCAATCCAGTTTTAGGCGAATCCTATGTACTTCTTCCTACTGCGAGCGCTTCCCAGAGCATGTTATTGCTACAGAAGCAGCCAACTAATTCAATGGCACCACTAGAGATGGGCGAATCTGGAGTATTTGGAGAAGACTTATATGCCAGTGCACGTTACAATTTATCGTTACAGCAGCAGTATCAATATGAGCAACAACGCCAGCAAGTTCAACGAAGGCAGAAATTACAACATCGGCAACGACTTCAGCAGCAGCGAATGAAAGATAGCTTTACTGCATCGGACAGGTACTTCAAGACTCGTGCAGATCTTGCTAGTCGTGATGAGGAGGAAACAGAGATGGAAGACAGTATGGTGGCTGTACCCACATATGCGGACTTAAGCCATCAAGTCCGTCTACTTACAACACAGCAAGCCCATTGGTACGGTTTTTAACAAGCAATCAATGTCAACCGTATTTCATATGCACTATGATGGCTATAGTGCGGGAATGCCAATAACGACACCAGTTTGCAAGGAGTGTATGGATAGTATGATCACAATGATTGACGGGTACGATCTTAGTATTTTGCTATCTGTCGTGTAGACTTACCTGGATTTATAGGCAGGCTGAGCGTGCTCGTTATGAAAAGCGCTGTGTCACAGGATTCTTGCACAATACCACGAGCACAAGTGTAAACGACGATGTAATCGAGCTGGTGAACGACAAAATTCGCTTTGTGCGTGCAGCAAACATAAATAATTTGGTATTTTCAAAAACTGACCAGAGCCTTTGCTTGTGAACTACGTCAGTATGAGAATGAATCGGCAGAGCTCCAGCAGAATCTGAAGTTGATGGAGAGTGAACGCAAGCTTTTAGCACAACAGCTAGAAGCAATGGGCGAAGTGGAAAAGGCCCTTATCTATGAGGAAGCAGGACTTTGGGACCAGTTTAATCAGCTGCAACTGCAAGAATCCATATTTCAGGAAATTCGTGATGCAGGCATGGCTCAAATCGATGCAATGGAACGGAAAGTAACGTCGGCCAAGCATCTGAATATTCTTTCGGACATGTTTGTTATTGGTCATGACGGTGCATTCGGAACAATCAATCGATTTCGAATGGGTCAGTCTGCATCTTTGACGCTGGAATGGAACGAAATCAATGCAGCGTTTGGGGAGTGTGCGTTACTGTTGCAAACGTTAGCAAATTTAGTCGGCTTGGAATTTACGGAGTACGTAAAATGCTAACAAATTATTGCGTGTTGCTCAAGATCCTATTATTTCTAGCTATAAGATTATACCACTGGGTAGCTTCTCCAAAATCATTCGAACAAGCAGTCTCCGAATGGAATATTGCCTGTACGTAATGCTAACAAGTGTTTGATGAGCGATTAACTTGTGATAATTTTGTGAAAATGTCGATTGTTTTTAGACATGGTTCAGATCAGCAAAACTTCGCTGAGTCTCATTTCAACTTAGGCTTAGGCGCTTGGATAACGTGTCTCAGCCAGCTTATGACATTCGTGCGGGCCCGAGATCCGTCCATCCGACTGCCTTACAAGGTCGTAGAGCACTCTATTGGTGGGCACTCTATCATTTTCTTGAAGAACAAGCACAAGGACTGGACGAAAGCGCTGAAATATGCACTCACAAACCTTAAGTGGTTGCTCACTTGGGTATCTGCTCGTGGATTTAATATTTCAACGTCCTTTGCGGTCGCCACTACTGCTCAAAGTAAAGCTGCTCTTGCTTTTGCTGCAAATCCCCCTGTGATGCGTACCAATGATTCGAAGCAGAGCATTGTGATTATGGAGCATTTCACGTAAATTGTCTGGTTGCTTCCTTGTATTGTTGTTTGAAACGAGTATGTACATGTGGTAGACTAAATGCGTCTAACGTCTACCTTTGTTTTTGTCTTCTGCTGCTACAAACACTATTGCGGTCAGATGCGCTATACTAACCCCTTCGTCGATGTTATTTATCTTGATGTCAAAGTGTGGCGTTGCTCACTTGACCCTCGTAGAATTTCCTAAATAGTTTTGCAATGCGGTACACAGCTCAGTCAGTGCCATTGACGGTCTCAACAACCTGCCGCTTCGTTGATTGTACACCATCTATCTGTTCTAGTAACGTGTCACTCTCGGATTTATCCACACTGGAAACACACGACAGGTGTCGCTTCTTGCCTAACTTTCCGCTCAAGTCTACGACTAGGCTGCCAGCCGCCATTCGCGGTTCATCTTCTGGTTCATCTTCAGAACCCGTGTCATGTGCCTCACAAAAGAAGTGCATCAGCAGTCTCGCATCTTCAGATTTGGGCTGCGGCATTGGAGCTAAAGGTACTTGACCTTCGCTATACTTAATGCTCGGCATGATTTTTCGACCTCGGAGCGACACAGCAAGTGAAGACGGCAACAACGAAGGCGGATGATGTTGCGTAGCCGGACCAACTCCACTGCCGCTGAGAGACTCGAGAAATTTAGCTTCTACGACACACAGATCTTGTTGAGCGCGTCGAAATGCCTCACGATTAGCAGGTGTATTTTCAATCGAGCGAAAAATTTGTTTGCCAATGGAGCTGTTGCCTTTAAGTTTTTTCGTTACGCGCATCGCTTCGCAGTTCAAACGCTTGGCGAGATACCAGCGAAGTGATGTGCCATCCTCCACGTCAAGAAGGCCGCGCTTGAAGTAGTGAATGATCATATTCGTAAAAGTTTCCTCCTCTACCGTCCACTTGCCACTACGTAATCCTGGGGGACACTTCGACTTGGTTGATCGCTTCTTTGTAGCCTTTAGCGCTGTTTTTGCCGCACTGACACGAGAGACCGACGAGTGCACCGTTCCAGCTTTGTCAGCTGCGCTGCTGATTTGCTTGTGATGTCGTGTTAATTCTTTATTTGATGGTTTGACTGCGGGATGTAGAGTCACATGGCCAAACTCTTGTGAGTCGGTACTTTCGCTAGAAGCTAATGTCGCGATTACGTGTGCAACGGATGTTCCTTTATTGGTGCTACCGCTGCTAAGGTTGGTTTTGCTGCCAGCATCGGAGCTGACAGACCGGTTGCTATTCATCATGGACAACATAGTTGCAAGTACTTGAAGGAGTGATAATTGCGCTTGAATGAGATAACTGAAGATTGTTGTCCTTCTTAAGAGCTTGATAGGAAGCTCAATTGAAGTTGGTGGCTCCTAGAGATTCGACTGTGAAGTGACGGCTTCAAGTACATTAACAGAGAAAGGAGTCAGCTAAGCCAGCGAAGACACGTCCGCCATTCAAAAGCGTACATGCAGAAAAAGAGCAGACTCACTAGTTTCTTCTGCTTTCCTAATATTTCACTTCCCGTTTGTATGTTTGGACCGTCGTTCTAATCAAAATTCATCACAAATCACAGGACTCAATCAATCAGGTGGTTCATATTTCTACCGTATAGGCAGATGGAGACATATGATTCAAAACCAAGTTTTACTTCAACTTACCAAACCTTTAGCGCGTGGCTGAAAACGACAAAGTCAAGTTAAGACTGTTAATGCTTCTAGAGTGAATTCACAAGAATCAATTCGTGGGCTTATCTCGTCTTCAAATGAAGATTTTGCTGCTTCTGGTTCTGGCCCCGTATTGGCAAATGGTCAACTTTATGATAACGAAAAGTGATTGGCTAAGTCACATTTAAACCAATCAAAAAAGGGATGAGTGAATTGAAGTTGAGCTTTGCACATATGACTTCAACTTGGCTCTTACTACTTGTTCCTTCTCAATAAGTGGTTTGCCTACTTTCCTATCGACTTATGAGTTATATTATCGTCACCGGCTGGTGGAGACAGCACTAATATTCAAATCGCCCATATCTCTCCCCAATCCCGCACAGAGTTACTTATTCGGCAGACTTCTACATCGATGTTTTTTACTTATCGACTTCCGTACAAATACTAAATATCATAATAATCACAGGATCAATTTCACACGTGGCATGTCGCAACGCTGAAGCTACTTGACTGACCAGAATGTTTGACATGACGAGATGTTTGGCCAGCTGGTACAATATTAACCACAGATTCATTGCAGCATCCGCTTGATTACATGTTTGTACTGCACTTCTTTATCGCCGCGTATGTAAATAACATAATTTTAAAAAGATTTCCTTCGCCATGAATCGTGTCTCATACGCTATTTGAATTCTCCTTGCACGAAAGCATCAGTATTTTTTCTTTTGACATTGAAAGAGCATTCAGCTGGCTATTGTACGTGTCCAAGTAGAATCAAGTGAGATTTCACATTATTCTGGTCTCTGCATTTTAGCATGATATACATTTCGACAAGTTGTTAAAAAGAATTTTCGAAAAAAGTAAAGATCGACACTAGAGGTCAGCAACGTGCTGTAATTAAGTTCATCGATCTGACCCCATGACGTGACGAAGCAATTTGTGGAAAGTTGGTTTATAGATAAAATGTTTACAGCTCTTCAAAGCCCCAAACGTCATGGATTGACTAGTCATTTCGACAAAGCAAAAAGCTTTCACATCATTTAAATGCATTCTACACTTTCGAAAAACTTTTCAGAACACCACAAGTATAGAGCAGTGTAAATACCAGCTCATATCAATTGTTTCAAGGACTTACTGTCACCTTCAGCAAGAAACAAGAAAATATTCTCGATTTCAACATGTCGTCTCAAGGAAGCAATGATTTTCTCTCTGTCAACTCCACTGCTGTGGTCACGCCAACTTCCACTTCAGATGAATTTGAGTCCGAACAAGCCTATCTATTGTCTCGTTTACGTACATTGCAGCTCTTTCTACTACTAGGATATAGTATCATGTGCTTACTCTGCATCACCCTTGTAATCTATCTGCGATTAAACCGAAATACAGCTCTTCGAGGTGACGCCACAGCAGCTCGAAAAATCATTTTACCTGCATTTGAGCCGTTGCTTTGGGTACTTGGACTTTCGACTGGAATCTACTCAATTTTCTTTGCCTCAGCGTTGGCTACGAAACTTTATTCTTACAAAGTTTCCAGGCTTGCAACCGAAGTGTTCTACTCTGGTCGACAATTTGTTTGTCTTAGCGTGATTGTGTTTATGTTTCAAAAAAGCGTCTCGGGTCCTGCGTTACGACGTACGTTATTGATCACGTTGTTTTTATCAACCTACACGATTCCATTCATCTATATCATTACGACATACTTTCCAACTTGCGATTATCGGAGACCATTAATAGTGGCACGTGGACTACTTTTACTGCTTTACACATATGTGCTCATCCATCCACCAGCTCGAGCAAGTAAACGTACATTGCGTGAGTACTGTGTATTTGTGTATATTTACTATATACTTTTGTTCGCGTACGTTGAATGTTTTCGACAAGGTCACAAGGAGGCAGGCTTTTATCTTACGTACTCTGATCTAATCTGTGGATCCTTTTGTCCGTTGGTTATTTGGCGAGTCTTGCGAGCAGATACAGAGTATTGGCGTGGTATGGGCCAACGTGCTGTCGCATTACAACGATTGTTTTGTCAAAATCATGGCATGCCGGAACGAGTTTCGTCCAAGGGCCTGCACATTCTAATCGAAATGCACCGTAAATTTATCATTGATTTTGCCTATTTGGAGCTACAACATCGTATCGGTATCGGAGCAAGCTCAGTTGTTTTTAAGGGAGTTTTACGTTCCTCAATGGATGTTGCTATCAAAGTTTATACTCCAACTGAATTCACAGAAGATACTGTCGCTGCCTTCTCACAAGAAGCAGCACTTTGTGGTGTACTATATCATCCAAACATTGTTGCCTTTCACGGTATGTGCGTCTGTCCACCATCAATTTGTTTAGTCAGCGAGCTATGTATCGGAAATCTAGAGGATGTCACAATAGCTGCAGCAAGACAATGCTCTACAATGAGTAAAAACTGTCAAAATCGCCAGCAGTTGTTACTTAATATTGCCTACATGCTGGATGCAGCGCGAGCAGTGGCATATCTTCATAGCTTTCGTCCACCATTTCTACATCGAGACATCAAGCCAACCAACTTTCTTGTTGATGCAAATAACACTGTCAAACTTACTGATTTTGGTGAGTCTCGATCACTTCCTCGCGCTCAGGTCGTTAGCAATGAGCCCGTGAAAGCTTTTAATGCGACACATCGAAGTAGTATGAGTGGATATTATGGCGATAAAGCTTCTACTGTTGCCATTCTAGCAAGCGAAGACTCGAATGCAAAATTCTCACCAGAGTGTGCTACTTATGAGATTGATATGATTGGAGCTGCCAATGTTCGAAAACATAATGGCTCAGTCATGACAAATGAATTTGATTCGATTCGAAACATAAAGGCAGTCGCAAACGAGGGCAATACCCACGTGAATACAATGCTTATGACAGTCAAGGGTACTGTTGACTACATGGCTCCTGAAGTTATCAATGGACGGGCTGGTCTTGCAGCTTATGGCGAAGCTGCAGATGTTTTTTCATTAGCAATTACAATGTGGGACGTATTTTACCCTGGACGGGAAAAGTTCCCAGGTACGAACAACAATCATTTTCGCGTGTTCGATCTTGTGCTTGAAGGCCAACGTCCTGAGCTTGATCGTGGCATTCATTCTTCTCTTCGTGCAGTGATTGAAAGCGCTTGGCAGCATGATCCACAACTCCGTCCAACAGCTCATAAGATAGTGAAAACACTTGAAAGTATACAAGAAGAACTAAGTGCAGCTTTTGCACTCGAATTGACTGACGAGCTAGAAGACGCGTTAAGTTTAACAAAACCTGTTGACGCTCCAAGTGCCCCACTGCCTACTTTGCGAGGGTTTTCAGGAGAAGAAGCTATTCATCATATGCGTCAACTTCAGTATGTCAATACAACAAGTGAAGCAGTGCGTTTAGGCAACGCCCTGATGGATTCTGGTCTGCTGCACCATTGCAAACACACCTATCCATTTGAAGCCTCAGACAAAATATACTATTTCGATGATGAAAATATTCATCTTTGTCAACCACTTGTTGAAATCTGCACTCAAGAATACAAAACCAAGCTTGACGTCGAGAGCACGACAGTAATGAGCTCAAATACTCACCCATCACATCACATCAAGTATCACTCAGACTCTACAAATTTCGATTCGGAATCAACTCGATTTCGCAGCGATAATTCTCAATTCGATCAAACACAATTGAAAAATGGAGTCTGTGAATGTCGTAAATTAGGACAACGACTCAAACTACCAAAGAGCTCAAAATCACGAAATCGATTTCGCCGAAGAGGTAAAGGAAAGAAAGAATCAGCTGGAGTAGATGGTCTAAGTGGACAACTTCAAACAAAGTTACTTCTCGAATTTCCACTCGAGCATCACGATTTTGACGACTTCGATGCTTATCCATCTTCAGAAATATGAAGTCTTTTGACAATTTGATATCCAAATTCATTGTTTTATACAAATACGAGTATTATTTAGACTATACAAATCAGACCCGATCAAAAAAATGATATAAGCTTTCAAATTCGTTACTACAATCCAGATTTTGTACATTACGATAATATTTAGATCAGACCATAAAGGCAAATTTTCTATCGAATCCAATCAAATCGGAAAGTAAAATCAACTCATATTTTGTCAAACTCAATTTATGCAAGGGTAACATAGATATAAACATACCGTGATGAGCGAGCTCGTACGATAGAAGAAAACTCGAAAGAAGCAACATCGATTGGACCTGCCACACCATCTTTTCAAGGACGAAAGCGACCTGGTAGATAGGAGAGACTTTAAATTTGCGTTGTATCCATTGATGTAAAAAGAGAAACGACCCAATTTCCAAAAGAGCAAATACCAAAACGTTTGATCTAGCAAATGTACCCCATTTGCCAGGACCACCAGGATAGTAAACGACATTTGGAAGCATTTCAAGTATTGACTTGTAAATAACATAAATAATAGGAACAACACATTCAATGTATTCCACTAGTGCTAAATATTCACGATGAAATAAAAACTGAAGTCCTTGCAAAACAAAATCTTCCGATCTTCTGTCATTCTTTGCTTTCGAGACTTTAAGACACTGAGCAGGTTCATGTATCTGTTGTCTCGTTGAAACATTCACAACGTTATGTTCAATCGGTTGAACAGAAGATTTTGAAAAAAAGTGGGAAATTCGGTAACTAGATCGTGTTTTGATCGTAATATTTTGACAATATATTCCTGATGCTGCGAGAATCTGAAGTTGCTTTGAACGGTCTTCTGGGAGTGGATGTGGAAGACATGCATGCAATCGCACACCCGTCATTGAAATTATATTATAAGCGTAAGGATCTCGTGTTACTGCAAGAATCATTGCGAGTAAATCTGGTGATCCAGTCGAGAATGCAGATTGTAACGAATCTTGTGATATAACTTGTTGATTGAGTAATTGCACAACAATAAATGCATTCACTCGTAGTTCACGGAATTCCAATAACGTTAGTCCTATGTCAGCAACAATGAAAGATATAGAGAAAAGCAAAGACCCAGCACTTGACATACAAACAGACATGAATAGTGAGCTGTATAGATCCACAGTAAAACTTAACGTTTGTGGAATGATGTCTTCTAATTCACGTGTAGCACTTATTACAATATATTCCGCCCCAATTTTCCATATCGGAAGTATCAACACGATCAATTTTCGATACGTTGGATCAAGTGAATCGTGAAGTGCTTTGCAAAAGGGATATATTGTAGTAAACGCAAAGTACGTGTACTGGTATCGCTGAAATCGTAGAACGTATCGACGACAAGTAGATTCCTTTGTGAATGATGACTTGCCCAACACGAGCACTAGAACTATCAATATATAGGCTGCAACCACCATGTTTCCAAGTTGTTCAGTAAATGGTAAAGGGAATCCGATCTTGCTAGAGGCTACCAGCATGGTGGTTATGTACATCACCGAAAGTAATGAAGGAATGGTCAAAATCTTAACAAGTGACAAGTTCAAAACCGGAACAAATGTCGAGAAACTGAGAACGCCTACAAATGCCGTCGTTAACGCTGCTAACGCCTGACGAATCCAAAACATCCAATTAGCTCTCCATCCTTCGGATGGATGGCAAAGAGGAAGGCACTCCAACAAGATCGCAATTGCTAGGGAAGGTATCGGAGCGAGCAAGCATACCAGAATGACACGAGTACGAGAAGTAGTGTCGCAGTATGCATTAAAGCTTTCGAGTCGTTCGATTGAATAAGAACCTTGACGACCGACTTGAATATCATTCCATTTCTTTTTGAGACGACTTCGTATCGCCATCTTCCAAGGTGTGAGACTTTAACGGACTTATGCCAGTTATGTTCTATAATTGTAAGAAATAGTAAGACGGATTTATTTAGTATTAATCATAGTTGCATTAATTCGACATCTATAGGCTCTTAGCTCCGCTTCTGATGGGAGCGCACGAATCGAGCCTCTGTGCTTTCGTTCACGCAAGCCATCAATTTTCTTTAATGCAGAATGCATGGCAAACCCCATGTAGAGGACACTCATAGAGTACTCAATGCGTGGAGTGAACGCCTGTTCTAAATAATACATAAATTAATTGAACAAACATGTTGCCCTAGATCAGGCAATGTGACATCGTATTGACTTGATGTTCGGATCAAAGGTTGCGTCACAAGTCAATGGCCCTTACCAAAAGAACAGTATGGTCTCATTAACGGCTACTTTTGTGTGAAGTTTAAACCGGTTTTGATGGGGAGGGTGTGTCGGAAAGGCAATCGGCACGTGGCGACTTTTGCATGCCGATGTATGGCTAGATTTAGCAAGTATTTTGGTGCAAACGCATGTTTTTGGAGGAGATTGGAGAGCCTGTACGTTCAAACGGGCTGAGTATGGCTTGCCAGTCAAGAACAAGTACATACAAATATTTGTATGCCAATTGCACAGATTGAACTCCTCATTCCAGATCCCACCGTGGTTACGAGGGTAATTACAGTAGGACTATATGCTCCGGCATCATGCTTTGCCGGAAAGCATTGTTTTAGATCGAGGCCCGGGAACCACCACTTCGTTCTAGAAAACGCTATTCCGTCTTGCGGTAACATGTTGTTTATGTTCACATCATTTTTTACAACAGCTGAATGGTCAGACCAGGTCTGGCAATCGTGAGGTCTAAGAAATGCACACTGCGCTATTTACACACAGTGGGGCCATGAACTTGAACAGTGCATAAACCATTAGCTGAGTTTCGCACTCAATAATGTGGCTCGCATCTACGAGGTCAATATCACGTGAACGGGTTTAGACAGTCAAGGGTAGTGACTAGGAGAGGCTTGGGGGGCGATGTCATCTAAGAACGTGGATGTAAGATCGTTTTTCATGCGGATTCATCTGCGACTATGTCGATTGCAGTCTGAATGCGATCATCCAAACCCGCAATGCACTGATGCTGGCCAAGGAAAAAACGTATTAACGACAAAAGCGGTCGTATGAAAAGAGTCCTGCTTTCAATCCTCTTTAAATCTCGAAATACCTTGAGATAAGATTAGTTTGTTCGAAAGCATAAAATGGAATACATGCATCATTGAAACTTTCACGGTCCTAAAATTTCAGAGCGCAAACCCACATAGAACTCTTGGTTTGTTAGCACTCCCCGACTATAACCCTGCCTCACAAAAGTCAATGGCGACCCATCCAAAATTTGCCGTGCGTCATCTTAGAATTCATTGGCCCTTCGATTCAGCACATAGACTGGCGACCATGACAAGCGCATGAAATTCCTTCGAAGCAGGAGGGATTAGAACCGTGAGGTACTATATCAGGGTGGGTAAAGATTAGCCTGGGCTTTCGAATAATGGAGCGAGTTGTATATGGCCATATAACTGCCGTTCCCATCGCAATCGTACAAATATCGTACATATTTGTAAGATTGTATTTGTACGACTGCGATGGGGAACGGCGGCTTTACGTATATTTGTATGGGTGTTCGCGTGCCCATACGAGCGCGTGTTCCGGTTCGTTTAAGTTGAGTTCAACAACGTATACCCTCTGGCGTGACAGGCCGGATCGTGTCAATCAATGCAATCATGAACGTCTTGGCTTCCTAGTCTTAAGAAGCAGCCTCGCGCACAAGGAGCTTGAAAGCCCGAAGCTTCCGCAATGTTGGCAGCCAGCCAAAAACCCGATTTTAAGAAATATTTTTCATGGCATAAATTTTACCTTGGAAGAGGCGAGACTCTTTCCGCGAATGATTTACTCGAAGACCAGATGATGCGTCATAATTCGACAACTTTACGAATATGGAAGAGGCCACCTCCATTCTCTTCGATTACAGTGATGATATTCACTGAACAAGAGAAGAGGTTGCACGGCAAGTGCAGCAGCTCGTAAAGTGGTGGTCACGCTGAACTTCAGAGCTCGTGGCAGTCATATGACCGACCCCAGGGTGCTTCTTAGGCTCAGCGAACGAAACGAATGGCATCTTTGAAAGTAGTATGGGGCTTTAAACCGCAATTCAAGGGCAAATTTTAAAAGTATAATCCCATATTTGCGCTCGTTGTAGTCTTGTTTAAGCTTTATGTTCCCGCTCTGACATCTGATTAAATCTGTCGTTTAATGTAATGAGGTGGGAGACCTTGAGGTCCAACCATGGCTTATGATCTGCTAAAAATCATCGATGTTTTAAGGCGTGTTGTATTCGGATTTATTTGGGTCACACTCCCAAAATAAGGCTCAGACGGGTGAGGTTCTGAGGAATTTCTTTAGGGATTCTTTAATGGGATTACACGTACCCTGGTATAAAGGGGGTTGGTCACACAAGATGGCGTGACCGCACAATGGTGTGGCTACACCTTATCAAGGTGGCGGGATTATGCATATTAATTAGGTTTTAGTATTTAGTCAGAAAAAGCTATATATATAGATATAGGCGGCTTTGCCGCACATAAAACAAAAAATTCAGTTTGGATCTTGAACAAAAGAGTGTATTCGCCTTGGGTTAAGGTCTTGGGTACTATTGGAGCTTGCGAATTGCGATCCGCTACACTCATACTGGTTCTAGCTTAGAACGTGAGGTCGGTGACCGTAGCTAAGCTTCCTCTAAACAAAGAGCTACGGAAGTTCCGCTGGAGATTCCCCAAACCACCTGTTTAATCAAAGAAAAATATTCTCATAGAAATTGTGCGCATCATCGCCTGTAGACGGGTGATAAATAGGTCTCGGGACAAGTTATTTCCCCACACAGAGAAGTCGCACATTGCTTCAGTGCAGAATGCGCCGTGATTTATGTTGATGAATAGCTTGATCTTTCTCTTGCTCCATAAATCCCCGCATTGATCAGTATATTCTGCAGCAAAAAGCGTACTTTAGATGGCGAGCGCCTCGAGTGCGAAGCCGCTTCCTTCTAATTGCTTACGTTACCAGAGGAAAATTGACGTTGGACACTACCTACCACATTTTGCAACAAACACTTTGATGGCTAGTGCACCTTGAACTTCAAATTCTCTTGGCCGCTCGGGATCCCTTGTCATATGGGCAACGAAGCCTAAAACTAAGATCCGACCCTAATAATTTAGCTGAGGTTGGTGTGTTACCCTCTTTAAAGAAGCCATTCGTACATGACGTAATTGATTGATGGCATCAGGCTTGTCAGTGAATGTAAGGGAGGAAGCAGAATTTTCTCCATTGTCTGGTGTGGTTCGTAAAGCATTGGTAAGTGTTGGATGCTTCTTATTGTTGAATACCACATTTGGCTCGCTACGCACGACTGACTGGTGGTGTGCTGCGAGTAGCGTGCTGGTAGTTGACTTGAGTTTTTGGGTTATCCTGAATTCTACAAGGCTGGTGTGGTGGCGCACCACCTACAAAGAGCACCTTGGTTTGGTTAGTCGTGACCCTTGCCATGATTATCTATGTACGATTGATAGCGCTACGCTATTTGAGATTGTGTTCACTCAAGTGCCACAGCTAGCAGATGTGATTATACACATCAACTCAAAAAAAATATCAACAAAGATTGGATGTTCGTTTATAAGAGACGGGAGGGTGTAGAGATGCACCCGTGATATGAAGTGCACTGGCGTATGGAGCAGTCATGTCAGATGCTGTAGCCATACAGTAGTTTAAGGTTTTGCACTCATTTTTGGAATAACATTGGCAAAGTGGCTCATCGTAATCACTGACTCTTGGATGTCCTTCCGGTGATAGAACATGAGCTATTTTCATACATGCACCAGATGTTATAGTGTGATACACTAAGTTTTAATTGCAAAATATATTCATTCTTTTATCTACATCCTTAAGCAAAGGCCCCGTAAAATCATACCGTAAACGGTTATTCACCAGAAATCTGTCGAACATTCGTCGCTTCCCCAAGCAAGGTGCTGTGTAGATACCGCTACACAAACTATCAATATCCAGGTTGATATCATCAGAAATTTCATAACATCTTGCGCTTGCTAAAGCGACCATTCGCAAGTGTGAAATCGATCGGTCCTGGCTATGACGTCATTCTTCAGTGCCTGTTCGGGACCGAGATATGTCTCTGGGTGTATTGTAGTCTTCACTCATATAATCTTCTGTATATACTGCACTTTTTGACTTCCAACTCGGTCTAAAGGAAATCAAAGACTGAAATTTTGGGCTGTCAATGCTTATAGTGGGTTTATTATCAGCAATTTTAGTAGCGCTAACAAGAGTCATCGATGCTTCGAAGGAAGGGTTGTTTCCTCGCTATGCTTTATAGAATGCTTTGAAAGCATAGAACATCCACACGTGCCTTTGTTTATATATGCAACAGCATGATTCGTAGTAAACAGGTACTATATTCCCTTTTGCAACGGTTCGCCGCGCACCATCCGCAGAGGAAGCTTTGACTGAAAACGTTCGCGTTAATATCGCACATAATGGGCTCTTGAAACTCCCCAGAGGAGAAACCGAGAGCCACACAAGAAACTAAGTTATATTCAGTGTAATTTTATCTCACGAGTGACATATATTCAAGGTCAGTGCCAACTTAAATTGATGCAAAATATATTTGTTGTACTACGCTCAATAATAAATCTAAACGCACTGCACATCGTTGAGCCTAACATTTCACGTGTAATGAGCTCCTCCTTCCTGTATCTGTATCTTCAACATTCTACGACACGTACCCTCCTCGCCAAGATGAGGTTCTTATTGGATTGCACGTTTATTTTCTTACAATATTGCGTTGAACGAGCACCCACTGCATTTCAAATCTAACACCTATCACTTGCACATTACTGTGCTTTCTCTTACGATCCTTATCCTCATTGAGAGCACTCCGAAACGTGTTCTGATGACTGAATGTTTTTGAGGAGAGAGATGCGGTTTTTGCAGCCGAAAACCTCACACTAATATTGATAGATTTTGGTACGGGTAAGTATTATTATCGAATTCCAAAAAGATGAAGGTTGCCATTTATGTTACTTCATAAAGCTATTCTGAGATTATATTTAAAATTGTTTTAAAGTCTGAGGGACAAGTGCATCTCCCACGTTCAGTTTAAACAATTACTCCCATCAAGAGACCTTTTCAGCGGCGCTCGCCGAGGATGAGACAACCTCAACTTGCGGACTGCGTTCCCGTTTCTTGAGGCGGTGAGTGATATGACGTTCTGCCTCAGAGCTCACGACAAAATCTAGCTGGTTAGTACTGAGCTCGTACTGGTTCACTGATCCAAACTTGATCGCCCGCAAGTGCAACAGTCATAGCAACGTTTGCAAACTCGATTACCTCGTTTGTATATATTCTGTCCATCTATTTTTTCACGAGGTGGCAAGGCAGGGCTTTCGTTTGCTATACTAAAAGCAAACTGGGCGGTCAGAAGTCGCTTTGCGAACGCATTCTGACTTCTTCAGTCATCACTCTTTAGGAAGAAATCTACTGCTCCCAGTAGCATCAGCTGCCGGGCATAGCTGTATCCTTCTTGAAGACTAATCTTCGGGTGCTAGATGCAGGTGAAAGATCCAGAAAATTTACACGCAGTTTGCGCATTCGACGAGGAACCCCATCGCCTCACCAGTTACATGGCCTTGCAAACTTACTTGCCCGACCAGAGCATCGATTTCTGATCGACTGTGCAAAGTATTGAGCACAACAGGAACGGTTTCTTGCTGTCAATATCCCTCGTGATCTTCGTGAGCTGCTCTTATAAACACCGACCACGTCTCAAATTTGCAATAAAGGTGGTCCCCACTTGATAGTTGATAATGTGTTGTGCTAAGCGATCCTGTCTCTTCTCTTGGATAGGGTATGTCAAGTGAACGTGTCATTATCGCCAACGCAATATTGCCAATGTGAATTCTCATCACTTCTCTTAGTGATAAGCCCATATTACTTCTCTGTATACTGCGGTCCACTATCCGTTCTACATGATGGGGGGCCATGTCTTGCTCATTGGGATTTAAGAGTACCGCTGAAAGACGACTTTTCTTTCTAAGGCGCTGCAAGTTAAAGAAACACGTCGAATCTCTTTGACAATTTTTTGCGTGCAACCGAAACGGAGACTGGTCAGATTTTGGTCCGCTCTCTGAAAATAACACCACACTTTGTGGTTAAAATAAAAAAAAAAAAAATCACTTCCAGTAGCTGTAAGGTAGTGTTGCTTCGCGAGAACAGAGAGATGCTCAGCTTCATGGCATAGCAGAGGATCTGTTTCTAATACGTATAACGCTGAATACCCGAACAGATCGCAATTGCAAGTCGTGATTCGGCTCCGAGACGCCTTCGTAGAGCTAGAAATAAGCTCGTAGCTTCATTGGACCTTTTAAGCATAGCTCAAGACCTTTAAGGTCTGACTGCTTACTGCTCTATGTAGCAAACTTACTCTTACCTCACTATATATGAATGTGATTTTTGACTGGATTCGGCATTGGCTGACTGCTTATTGCTCTATGTAGCAAACTTACTCTTATAGACCCTCTTACCTCACTATATATGAATGTGTTTTCGCCTGGATTCGGCATTGGCGTGTTGCTTTTAAAGACAGTGGCTCTCAGCCACAGCGTCAAGAGACCCCAACCGTACGACAATGGCATGAATCTATGATTTTGCTAGTCTCGTCGGGCTGATATCGGCGAGTCTAATTGTACCGACAGATTATACCCCGATATCAGAGCCACTTTATGACGGTGGCAAAGAAGCCTAGAGGCTAACCAGACCATTTAGTAAGAGCTACGAAGAGCTTGCAACGACACGTGCCACGTTATTCAACGCAAATTGGCAGTTTTCTCCAGCATCGAGTTCTACGAAAGATGCCCTTCACAATTCGATTCGTTTGCGAATGTTGTTTTAAAACATTGGTCATTGGCAAGCCATGATTGGCCGGAAAAATCATCGAGCAATAACTTGCCTGCAGCCTTACAGGAAATGGTGTCGCTGAAGGAACAAAGTGAGTTTTCTTGGTCGTTGAAGACCACGATACCACTATGACGGGATGCGCGTGTAACCATAAACTATTTTTACGAAAGGATCGCATTTGGATGGGATCAGCCAACGATTGACTGGCCTATGGTTCCGACTTGTGCATGAGGATTTGACAATTTGGACGTGCGAGCACCCACTTATATACGTCGAGCCATTTGTATGTAGCGCTGACCGATGTTCCTCTTCTAAAGTGGATACTTAAGGGGTCACCGTGTGCTTCGTAACAGTATTCTGTACTTGAGGTACTCGTCATGAGGTTCCATCACACGCTTAGGTTTGTAAAGGTCTAAGAAAGAGAATAAATCGAAGACAGGGCTCAAAACCTTCTTCAAAGCTTTCGTCATCGCAGTACATGCCGCATATGATCCGTATGCTACACACATCACCTCATCAATGCGCGATGTCAAATCCTGGTTAACAATAGCTCGTAATCACGGAGACGCAAAAGCGCACCCACAAAAGCATTGAGCCGATCCGGTTTCAGCATTGTCGTGAAGGTATATCTGGCGAGAAATCATGACCATCTTTTCAATTCCCCTTGGCTAATATGGTGACGACGAGAAGAACTTATCCCCGTTCGCATCAACTTTGATAAAGCACAATTTTTCGGAAATGCTGAAGTGTTATAGACGACATGGAAAAGTCGATCTGTAACTAAAAGAGTTGAAATCTTGACACGCTTCAATTTTTTTATCCCCTTAGAGGCCGTCTCTTTTGCTGAATGTGGCATTTGTTTTAAGACGATTGCTGAGAGGTCATGCTATATCAGCATAGTTTGCTTATTGTTTTTCAAGTAGCTGACAAGGCAAAGGTACTTAACAAAACTTCTTTAAGCCAGAAACATTGGCCAATTTACCATGACCTGTTATTTGCGGCAGCTTCTTCCAGGCAATGCTTCTTAATGAAGCAATTTAGAAATAGAATATATCGGCACCAATGAATTCTACTTCATTGTCTTAATTAATATTTTGTTTGCACATCTATGAACATTACTCGCAAACGTTCCGCCAGCTATGAGCGACAATATGGTCAATCAAGTTTGCGCGTAACTATGCTGTGGCCTGAACAGCTGTGTCACCAGGCGCTTGAACGTCGCGAGTAGATTGACAGTCCCTGTGGCCTTACTAGCTACTCGTATAGCATTCCGCTCGGGGTACTCGTCGAAGTGAGTGACTTACTGTCTGTAACCAGCTGTTGATAGTATCGCAATACTTTTTCGATACAAAGCAAGTAGGATTTTTAAGATCGCTGAAAAAAGCCGTTGCTTGTTTTCGTACTCAGTGCTTTGCAAGCGCTCTGAAAGGCTAGTCTCGATATGACCGACACTAAGTATAGCTCCTTCTCCCGTACCGGTCGTACTTGTTCGCGATTTCACTATCTTGCAGGACTATGCAAACACTTTTCGAGGAAATTTCTTATAGGGACCGGGGCGCAGCGGCCGACCAAATATAAGGTGAGAGTAGCTGTGACGGGTCACACGGCACCTTGCACAGAGGAAGCTTGACTTCCAAGAGTATAC